TTTGATCTAAACAGTACACGAGCAGTACATTTTTGAGCTGCTCTCATTGACTACACCTGTGTGTACTATCTGTAATGTTCTCACAGAATGCTGAGCCATCAACACGCTGCACCATTTAGCCACTGTGTTTCTGCCACAGGCCCCGCTCCTCGTGAGTCCACCCTCCAGCAGGTAAACAATTAATGATGAGTGAATGCTGCGATTGTGTCTCCATCAGCATATATCCACTGCTGAAGTCAGGCTTTGGGGTCCCTGGTGTAGTGCAGTACACAGAAAGGCAAAACAAAGAGCAGGACCTGGAGGAGCCTGTGAACTGCAATCATACCATACCACACAACTGTGGTCTCTCTCACTCTTATGTGATGGAAAATGGGAGTATATAGGGGAACAAAGCGGCGTGTTCCAATCCTTTTGTGCTTTGTCTGCAAATAAAGGTCCTGGCAATACATAAAATTATTCAATGTTTGTCAGATTTGAGAAATGTTTGTGATCAGGGTTGTTAAACATTATGGGGTCTGTATTATGCTATTTTTTGATTACTGCTGTAATGTTGTTTCCACATCAAAAACATACCCAGAGTTGTTTCGTTTCATTCACACATTTTTTATTTGAATACACATGTTCTTCTCTCAGACAGAAAACTCTCTGTTCCACCTTGTGATGTCAAGTGGTAATACAGAGGTGCTCCACTGTGTTTTTAAATACATACACTTTCACTAGCAGAGCATTTTGAGCTTTTGAGATGTAGACAGACAGAATAATAAAGGGCTACTAAAGCATGTGTGAAAGAAACTCTATACAACTTCGGTTATCACATGTCGGTTTTCTTAATACAGCACCTTTAAGTAATCCACAAAGGGCTCCACTATGTAAGTAATTTCTACAGCAATAAAAGTATTCTTTATGTAACTTACAGCAGCCTGATGTAAAAGTAATCCACAGACAGAACTCATTTACTCATTCATTACTTGTAAGTGTAGTGCAATTCCAAACCAACCTCACAGCAAACTTGACCAGCAATTAATTAACATTTCCTAGGAGGTTGCATGAAAGCACTCTTACCTCACAGCAACAAGATCCCTATTTCAACTCCCATCAGTCCCAGTTTGTGTGGGGCATTTCAGGATTGAGTGTGCATGTTCCCTGTTCCTGGGTGGGTTTCCTCCAGCCATTCCAGTTTCAGTCCAAAACATAAAGATAGGTCCCTAGACATGGCACTGTAGCTGCCCACTGTTCCTGACAGGCTGCCACAGAGGCACAGAAGGATGGGATTCACTTCACTGCTGTGATCAATACAGTATGCCTTTATGTAATAAGTAAGTTAAGTAAGACCAAATAAACTGTTCATGTGGGTATTAAGTGTTCTGCTCGGGGTTGTGACTAATAATAATTTTTTGAAAGTTTTTTTTTTTTTTTTGAAGCTTGGTATTATGCCCGCAAAATGGCACTAAAGAGTTAGTGTCCACTGCTCCCTTTCCCTATCGTACTCATCACATCGATTTGGAAGCTTGGATAACAGTACCTCCAAGCCTAATTTGGTAAGTGGTTTCAAAAAGGTCTCTTTATAGAAAGGAAGAAAAGACTAATGGAACACGATGTGAAATAGATCAGCCTATTCACTGAGGTTGACAAAGATTTTCCTATACTACAGCGCAGCCTGGTGGTCACTTCCGGAATCACACAAAACTGACAGTAATGTTTGTGTCCATTGAAGAAGAGACATAACTGAAAGGCAGTGTTATTTTTTATTCAAATGATAAACCAGATACAGTTTTTAATAGAGCAATAAGTGAGGTCATTTTTGTCACTGAAAAACTTTCATGCTGGATATACATTGTGTGCTTATACTGGCATGCAAATGGGGGAAAGTGGGCCCTTAATCATTAAAATACACTACGTAAATAAAGCCAAAACATACATACAAGTGCTCACCCTGTTAATGATTTAAATACCTAATCTGTGACATTTTTAAAAACATTTTGTGCTAACTCGACAACATAATGAAAAAGTGTTGATAAAACCAGGTATGTGTAACAGTTTTAGAACAAAACTACGGCTTTACATTTTTAAAAAATGCAATAATTCAAAATGGAGATTTGTATGACAAAGTACAGTACTGTATTTTGTATGGAAAATCAGTGCTAAATATTCTGCTCGCAAAAGGTCCAACTTAGTAAGTGCTTTAAGAAGAAACATTTGGTAAAAAAGAAATTCAATAAAATACAATTACATCCCTCCTTGACAATCCTACAGATGTATACTTGCACCAGACAGAGAAAGATGCATCTTATGCATAGTACTAGTCTTAAAAATTCAAGCAACCTTTTCATTAGTAGGAGTAACATGCATGTATGTGGTGAGATACAAAATAAAAGTCCCTTTCTCTTCTACATTCAACACCTGATGTGCTGATGTATCTGACATGGAAGCATTAGTTAAATATGTTGTTTTTATGTACAGTTAGTAAAGAAAAAAAAAGAAACTCTGGTCTGATGTGGGGATCAACACAAACACTAATAATAAATATAAAAAAATAATTACAGTATTTTCAGAGTGGTTCACACCTACAACCAAAGGTGACAAAGGTTCACAACACTTCGCTGATATGTCATGCATAGATCTGTACAAAATCTGCAGCTGCACTACGTTTCCCTCAAACATGGTTAGCCTGCTCTGTGCCTAAAATCATTAAAGGTTTATCTTGGTTATACTATACAAAAGTATTCACAAATAAAGTTTTTGGTGTTTTAAAAATGCGCGCTTGACTTGATACCTTATTAAAAATAGCCCAACTAAACTAAGAACATTCACAAGTTAAGTACAGTAGTTAAATTATCTGCTTTCATGTGACTTACTATTCCTCAGTAACACACAGCCAGGATGCATTTGGAAACTTACAATAACACAAATAATTGGCTACAAGTTATATTTGCACTGACACATTCTATTACATAACATTTGTATATATTGTAAAAGGTAAATATAAATGCAGATCTTTGAAAAGTTCTTTAGAGAAAATGACAATATGGTTTTGATTTAAAGCATTCTATTATTTTCAGAATTGAGTGGTCAAAGCAAACGGGATAGAAATGTGACGACGTTAGATGTTTACAAGTAGCTTATAGTGTGCATTTTGGGAAAGTAAACACATGCATCCTTAAGTAAACACTTTTGTTAACTCCCTTCTGCATTTTTGGGGAAAACTGTACAAAACATCAGAAGTCCAGTCAGGCATTTCCACTCTGAATGACAACAACAACACAATCGTTTTAAGAGCCAAGAGCAGTCAGTGTTAGCGATGCACTCTCACCCATCACTATCTGCTCATACCAGGCTCTGGATCCCTGAAAGTGTGTCAAGTAAAGACGAGGAGCAACACAAGGAGCTACAGTCCCTGACAAAAGTCTTGTCGCTTATCCATTTTGTAGAAACAAAAGCTTAGAACCTGACTTTAAATTAATCGATTGGTTTTAGAAATGTCTCATATGAAAGCTAAAACCCTCCCAAATTATGCTCAATATACTAAAATAAATTTGCTTCACTGAAGAAAGATTGATCATTTAATGAACACAGAAAGGTCAGATTTTGGCAAGACAAAAGTTTTGTCGCCTACAGAAAATTGAACTAATAATTTACTTCAAATACAAAAATATGTTGCATAACGTCAGTGAATTAAGTAGTGGTGCTGTGAGATCCATATTTAATATCTTGTATGACTTCCATGAGCTTGAAGGACTGCATCCATGCAGTTCGACAATGATTCATACAATTTGTTGATGAAGTCATCAGGAATAGCAAAGAAAGCGTCTTACATGCCTCCCAGAGTTCATCAAGATTCTTTGGTTTTGTCTTCCATGCTTCCTCTTTCATTCCACCCCAGACATGCTCAATGATGTTCATGTCTGGTGACTGGGCTGGCCAGTCCTGGAGCACCTTGATCTACTTCGCCTTGAGAAACTTTGATGTAGAGATAGAAGTATGCGATGGAGCACCATCCTGCTGCAAAATTTGACCCCTTTTATGGTTGGGAATGTAAGAGGAGCTAAACCTCTTGATATTTAGGGCTATTGATATTGCCTTCCACCCTGCAAATGTCTCGCACACCCCCATACTGGATGTAACCCCAGACCAGATTTTTCCACCACCAAACTTAACTGTTTTCTGGGTGAATCTTGGATTCATGCGGGCTCCAGTAGGTCTCCTGCAATATTTGCGGTGGCTGTGATGTAATTCAACTGAGGATTCATCTGAGAAATCCACCTTCTGCCACTTTTCCAGTGTCCATCCTTTTAGCAGGCTGTGGGCCTTGGCAAATGCCACACGGTTTTTTAATTGCCTTTTGTTTAGTGCTGGTTTCTGTGCACTGATTCGACCATGGAGGCCATTTCGAGACAGAAATCTACAGACTGTTGTGGTTGACACAGGGACTTGAGGTGACCAGGCCTGGTGGAGCTCTGCTGCAGTGGAAAAGTTGCTGGCCTTGGATTTTCAAATCAACAAACGGTCCTCCCGAGCAGTTGTCTCGCGGCGTCTGCCGGACCTGGGCTTGTCAAAAACATCTCCAATCATTTCAGATCTTTTTCTTATTCTTTGTACTTGACGCTGAGACACATTGAAGGTGTCAGCCACCTCAGCAGTGGATCTGGTCTTCAGCCTCTTGATAATTAACGCTTTGGTCTCAGGGTGGATCTTAGGCATGTTGTCAGAGGTCAAGTTGCAGTTGATGTGAAGGTCTGGTGTGCTGGGGTTCTTGTTATACACACCCACTAATTGATTGATCAGTAACTGATCACAGGTGAGGCTGTAATCTAGGATTGGGTGCATCATATGACAAGGCGACAAGACTTTTGTCTTGCCAAAATCTGACCCTTCTGTGTTCATTAAATGATCAATCTTTCTTCAGTGAAGCAAATTTATTTTAGTATATTAAGCATAATTTGGGAGGGTTTTAGCTTTCATATGAGACATTTCTAAAACCAATCGATTAATTTAAAGTCAGGTTATAAGCTTTTTTTTCTACAAAATGGATAAGCGACAAGACTTTTGTCAGGGACTGTATACTACAAGATGAAAACTGTACAGAAGAAGCCTGAGACGAAGCATGCTAGTACTAGTAGTGCATGCAGGGTAAGACAAGGAGAGTGAGTCCACCGCAGGGGCTTAAGGAAGTCCAAGAGCCCTCCTTAAAAAAATGTTTCAGAAGTTTATAGAAACACAGCTCTAAGAATGTCGTCAAAGTGCATTCGCTGTTAAACTTGGGCCCCGGGCCTGTCCTCCTCCTGTGTGGGGTGGGCCGCCAGTGTCAAAGTGAAAGTAAAGGGGTGTTGTGCTGTGTAGTTACAGGCTGATAGCAGTGCTGTGCATCAGGAAAGAACTTCATCCTCTCCCACGTAGGGCAGATCCAAACTCTTCATGCCATCGCTGCTTTCTTGTTTCCTAAGTAACAAAAAAGCATTACAAAGATAACAGCAGTGCCACTGACTGCTAACACTCACTTAAAACTATTCATTAAGTCTTATATAACGCAAAACGGCAAGAACTCCAGCATGCTGTCAGCAGCAGGGCTGTAGAGATATTGATTGCAAGATGCAGATGATATCAAATGTGTGCCAGCCATGCCAGAGGGTCTTTTTTTTTATCATTCATAATAAAGCAAAAATAAACTTGCTTTGGCATTGTTTTTACGGTCTAAATTACAGAGCAATTTAACACTACAAAGGACTATCAACAGACTGTCGGACCAAGCACTACATCAGCAGCAGGTTCAGTTAGATTCAGAAGATTTGAAGCCAAATGTAAATCTGTTGATAGTCTCTTGCACTATTTGCCCTTGTAAGTCTGTTTACCTTCTTCTGTTACAATGAATATAGCAGTATCTCACTTTGCCTGTTTTGCCTTTACTGGAAGGCAGGAGGAAAAAGGGAAACTGTAAAAACTTGACAAATACTATTGGCATTGTGAATTTATATAAAAATACATACATTTACAACTAACTTCTTATATGGGAAGAACATTTGAAAGACAATTCTTACGGTAAAATGGTACTTAAACACTTACGTTAGCATCTGCCCAGGAGCACACAAACTACTGCGATCTTCTTTACGACTCCAGTCAAAAGGGTTTCCAAAGGAGCGCTTTCTCAGCATAGTTCTCACAAGAATCTACAAACACAAAAGCATTGTGAAACATTTAGAATTCATCATGTCTCTCTATGATCCCCAAAAGGTTTCAAAACTCACCACAGTAGCCAGGCTGGGGGATATGCTTCACTGAATTCTCCACTTCCTCTTCAGTTACTTCAATCAACATACAGCAGTTATCATCCTCAGGAGGTAGGGGCTCTGCCCCGTGCCTTGTCACCCAAGGGTGCACCTGAAAAAAAAAAAAATTAAAAAAAAAAACATAAAATGACAATTTAATAGTTTTTGGAATTTGCTATGCCAGTAGATTTTCCTTATATAATAATTAATAACTAAAATCACCCACCTTAATTTGTGGAACTGTTATTCTTGTCCCTGGATTCTTGTCCAACATTTTGAGGAGCAGATCTTTCAGGTCATCAGATATCTCAGCACTAGGAGGGAAAGATGGACATATTCCTGGATTAAATGTGTTCTTAGTATGTCATATGAAAGTAATAAATTGACAGACAAGGTAGTACATACTTTTCAGGTAGTTCAACTGGTTGTGTTTTTATTTTTTGATGAAGACTGAGAATACGCTCATCCATAAACGGACACTGTTGATAATAGTTAATTTTATATTTATTAAAAAGAGAAAGTGCAATTTTTTTATGTACAGCAGGTTATGAAAATATAACCAGTCACACCAACTAACTTACCGTTCCAAACACAAAACAGTAAAGTGTTATTCCCATTGCCCACACATCCAGTGCCTAGGGCACAAAAAATGAATTTATATGCAGAAAATGAGCAGGTACAGTTTCCATGACACCAGATGGCGCTGTTTCATTGCCTTTACCTTTCCTGAGAAATTTTTTCTGGTCTCTGAGAGAGCCTCAGGAGCAAGGAAAGCCGGTGTTCCCACTGTACTGGTCAGAAGCGCATCGGCGCCCTCGAACTGGTTACTGACACCAAAGTCTGCTATTTTAATGTGTCCATCTTCTCCCACCAACAGGTTTGAAGGTTTGACATCTCGATGGATAATCCTCTGGTAATGCACTAGATAGAGAACACAATGTCTTTTTTGGCAGGTAAGATATAACTAAAATTGTAACTAGTATTAGGCTAAATAATCATTATTGTTGTACTGGCTAAAGGTAAAACAGGGATATTCTTTTGGGTCAACTGTACAGCATTGTCACTTCAGATTTGCAAATATTATATTGAGTAGATTTGAAAATAGCACATCTGCCTGGGTTTTTTCTGGCTCCCTGATGCCATACCCTCCCTTTCTCACTCCTGACTAGTCTCCTAGACGACAGTTTGTGCAAAAGCTCTCCTTGTGCTGAAATGCATTAACAGCCACCGAGGTAATGTGAAATGAGCCTTGTGGGTGGCAGGAGGCCATGACTTATGTAAATGGTAGAGGCTAGAGCTTTTAATGCACATGTAGACATTTATAGTAAGATACATAATAATCAGTAAATTAACTGATAAAATAGGTCTCTGAAAAAAAATATTAAATTACATTTAATTCTACTATTTTAATAAAGTTTTTATATCTACAATACTATATGGTCATATGTGGTCCCATTATATTCTTCTGCTGTTTTCTCTTTAAAACTGGATTAGGCAGGAGACATGGTAAAATGCTCCCTGAATAGAACAACATTTAAAGACAAGGTCAACTTTCCTTTTCCATAATACTAGGAGAAAAAGTACACCCAAACATCAACCCTCTCCCCCCCAATCAAGGACATTTTCACATTGTGTGTTAATTTTACAGAACAGATCATGAAGCCATTATGGCAATTTAAATTCATCTTGAGCAGTAGACGGCTGCCTCTAATGAGTTCTTTCTTGGCTCTCTGGCCTGCATTCAGAGGAAGTAGGAGGACAAAAATAACTTGGCCGACTCACAGTACTCGATTCCCCTAAGCAGATCCTGGAAGTAAAAGCGTGCCTGGTCCTCACTCAGAGGTTTATCTGTTGGCACCTCCATAACGGCCCTGCATCAAAATGAGGTGGCAAAAAACACCCAATTACCATTCACAACTAATGAGATAAAATCGAGAATCTCAAATTTAAGAGGGCAAACTCACCCCTTCTTAACGAGCTCAAACACTGATGGAGGACAGAGGAGGAGGACCCAAAGTTAGATTTAATTTTTTCATAACCATGAACCACATTTACATCATATGACCATCTCTGAAGTGTAGCTGTATAGTATTTGTGTTATAAGAGATAATGGTCTGTTCTTAACATACCCATGTACAGATGGTCTTCACTGGGGTCATCCAAAACCTGAAAATGGAAAATGAGTATGCAAATGCTGCTTACTAAAAGGAATTTCCTTAAAGGTTTGTTTGGCTACATACCTCCACAAGTTTGACAACATTGGGGTGGTCCAGCTTTTTTAAGATGGCAATCTCTTGATAGACTCTCTCCAGGGGTCCTTTGGGCTGGGGTGTGCCCTCGGGTGCCTCTTTGGCTCCCCGGGGTGGTGGTCTCCCTGATAGCAGAAACACAGTAAATACAACAACAGGGGATTTCAAATGGAAAGATATTTAAAGCAGAAATCTTTGCTAACCATGTGTGTGATTACTTACGTGGGAAACCAGCCTGTCTCATCAGCCTCCTCTTGGACAGCACCTTCATCGCCTACAGCCGTCAGAGGGATTTTGAGAAGAGAACAATTACACCAAGCAGGCAAGAGATCCAGGGAGAATCAATGACAAGAAACATGGACCAAAAAAGAGGAGCCAAATTCAGCCGAGTGAGGCGGTGTCTCTCTTGACAGTGCACCCACTCACACTACATTTTCCACTGAATATAAAATCCCTCAGTGCTGTTGCTGTGTGTATAATGTTCAATGTCAAACACAAAACTTGGTTGTCTGCACAAAAGACAAAAATTTTATAAAGAAAACGACTTACACAGTGTCTACAATGTAAATGACACAATGTTGAACATGTGCTATGTACAAACAGAGGTTGTTACTTGAGATATTCAAAATTAAAATTAGATTAGGGTATATTTAAAAAGGCTGGAAAAAGAGCAGATTAAAAATAACACATATGTGCAGTGTATATTGAGTATAAAGTGATACTTCTGCACATGTTTTACCATAAATTCATGTTTTGTTGCATTTGAACCTCAACCAAGACTATGGAATACAAATAAAAATAACATAACTCTATCTACTATGGTATAGTTTAGGAAATTAAAATACTGGATCATTGCATGTCTGCTCCTATCTAACCACACTTTTCCCAATCACATAATTAAATACTGCTGCAAGGATAGCACCTATTTTAGGTGTGAACATCAAAGCTAAAAGAATGCATTGCTCAGTGGATTTTCACCAAATTAGGAGCGGACCAGGTTAAATGAGCTCAGTTATTATGATGTAAGCACCAAATGTGACATGTGGGCCTTGTCACTTGGGAGCAGTATAAAATAATCGGCTGTCAGTGCCATGTGGGTTAATGGGAAAATGCTGCCATAGCTGTGGGACAGAAGACAGAAATGCTAGATGCTTGTAATTACTCGACAATTAAGACTTTAGACATTTCACATAAAAATCACACTCCTAATGGGATGGTTTTCATCTGCCTCTGTGCGTATGAATATTAGGGCATGTGACAAGTGATAAAATAAGGAATACTGCCATCACATCTGTTAGCACATAGCTGTCTGTATCCAATGGACTTACATAGTACGTGTTATCATCTTCATTGTACGCCAGTTTGACAACACCGTAGGAGCCCTGCAAACAAGACAAAAGTGAGATTTTAGCAGCTGTTAATGTCTCATGTGAAAATATGATCACCCATTATCTGAAGAGAAATGTTTCACTAAATACAAATGAGCAAAAAACATGTATGCGTGAGGGGGTGAGTGGGCCGTCGGTGTGCGCTCAAAGATTACCGGCTGCTTCAAAGTGAGAAGACAGACATTCAAATCATCTTTCCCTCGGTTTCATTTGGATTCCCAGCTAATTAGGGAAACTGGATTTGGCTTATGTTATGAAGCTCATCGACCCACACACGACAAATTCTGTATAAAAAATGAGGCCCAATTAGAAGCCTGTAAGCGCAAATCCATGCACAAAATTAACAGAAAGAGAAAGGTAGAGCAGGCAAAAGAGAAAAGGAGAGAGAGGGGGCAAGAGAGAGAGAGAGAGGGAAAGATTAATTTGTACTTGGGGATCAGACTGAAGAAACGGCAATGAGGCTAGAATTCCAAGAAAGCTACAACACTATGATTATTAGATCAAATGATGCTGATTCTAAAATGCATTGTAATGTTGTTGCTTGTAATATATGCTCAAGGGTTTCACTTCCTGTGTGAGCTTTGTGTCTATCTCCAACTGACCCATGTAATAGGGGTGTTATGAGACTCAATTTTCATGAGAAGAGACATGAGATGAGACATATGACTGGTTGGATGAGAATGAGATAAGATTTTTACATAATTTATAATAAATAAATTGATTCAATTCAATTTTGACACAATAATTTATTTTTGCTGTTACCGTATCCATGTCTTTTAGAACTACAGCAGTAGAAGCAGAAATTATATCTTTTATTTTGCACCTTATGTAATTACAAGTAGGAGAACTCTGAATCTATAGAAATAAGTCCAACTAAAGACAATGCTCCTTCAGGACCACAAACTGACCTGGAACTTGGAAACCAATTTGAGTTGCCTTATATATTTAAAAAAAAGAAAAAAGAAAAAAAGTGTAGCGCATTTCCTGCTTTCTGAAATGGTTGTACATGAAAACAAATGAGCATTTCATTCAGAGGTAAATACTCCCCTTGCAGTTAATTTTTTTTTTTTTTTGCCATTTTTGTACAGGAATTTAAGTTTTTCAAACTAACACAAGCAGATACATTTTAATTACAACAAAATCCATTTGCACTAAGAGACCAGTAAACACTATGTAAATACTATTTGTGATGCAGGCCAATCTTAGTTGCTGAGTGTACACTTGGGCAAGGCACTATACGCTATATTTTAACACTACATTATATTTTAATCAGAATATAAGTCAAAAACACTGAAATGCATTTTCAATTATCCCACAGTGAGAAACGTGCCCAGAAATATCCCCTCTCTCACATCCTCTCATCTTCTGTAAGTCTCAGAACCCTCCGAGAGCACTATTTATACCAGCCTTTCATCCATCTCCCAACTCTCCCATGGCCTCCTGGTTTACTCAGAGTTTAGGAAATGAGGACAGGCAGGAGAGCGGATATCAGAGACAGTGCGCAGGGCCTTGATTATGTGTGCCACTTGACAGACACGCAGTAGGTAGAAGACAGAAGTGAACACAGGATTTGTTGAAAGAGTAATCAGTGTTGGACGTACCTTTCCAATCTCATCTTTTAGCTTGTACTGGTTGAGCTGAACACAGTCCTTGAGGAGAAGAAAAAAACAGAAGAGATTAAAAAAAAAAATTAAATAAAAATTTATCTCAATTTCAGTCAAACACGTTTTTCCCTTAAGCTCAGAAGTAGTCTCTATTTTTAAGAAGCTTCTTACAATGTATCCAATGCTATTAAAAAACAAAACAAACCAAAACAAAAAAAAACACACGGTCAGAAAGACTTGTAACCATTTGTTTTTATGAGACATGACACAAAGGTACCTCAACTGTATAAATTTATATAAATCTCTCTATATACAATTTTCCACAGTTACATTTAGTCAGGTAAATGTCATATTTTATTAGGTTACTCTGGCAAGAGTATTTAGATGAATTTGGAAGAAGTACTCTTATTTGATCCATTCTACTGCATTTAAGGGTTTAGGGGAGAGGATCTACATGCAACTTGTCTATTCTAATTAGACAATGATATAACTCTATGTACCAAGGCTTACCTTCAAGTCCAAATATGTGGTCTTAACCAGTTTGCTGCTTTTTAAGACAAATGCATAAATTCTAAGTACATTATATAGCACATGCTTAAAATAGAATACCTCTTTTTTTGTATATTTGTATCATTGCAATGATATTATCATTTTCTTTTTAGGGCTGGTAAACTACAAATGTAAAGAATTTAATACACCAGTAAGCCCTTACCTGTAAGTCTGTGATGGAAACACTGTGCGACTCCACTGTTGGCCTACGGGGGAGCCGTGGAGAAGAGTGTGGGGAGGTTATTGGCGAGTAGGGCAGAGAGGGGTAAATATAGCGGCCGTTTAGACCAGGCGAGCTGCAAGGTGATGACGCCGTCTGAGAGCGCTCCTGTAGGGAAAACTTCCTGTCTGACAGGTTCAGTCTCCCCCTCTGCTCATGGCTCTCCGGAAGCAAAGCCTCGGGTCGGCCAACTGTGTGGGACAGGAGGTCACAGGATGGGGCTCGCGGAGGTGCTCCAGGCTCAGGGGGCTCCGAGCTGTCCATTTCCTCTACCTGCAGAGGTTTTGAACAATATAGGTTTACTGGATATCTATTGGAATAATTAATAAATTTTTATTTTTTATGATTTCAAAGTCTAAATTGAAACAAATCATTGAAAAATCAAGAAGAATGTGTGATAAAATGAGCATGAGTGCTAAGGATGTAAAGGTGGCAGAGCATTACCTCTTGGTCCCCAGCTGCACCAGGAGGCCGACTGGGCTCATATTCTGTGACCACGATGAGGGACTCCATGGGATCCGGAGATGGTGTGAGGGAGTGGGCTTCAGCAGCAGGAGCAGGACAGCTACACAGCAGGTCAGGCAGAGGTTGGGAGGGCTGAGGGGTCTGGGGGGGCACTGCATGACTGCCACATGAAGACACGGGTTCAGCCGAGGGCCAGGCGCTTACATGACAGGGAAACATAGTGCCTCTCCAACCACGGCTCCATCAGAAGGGAACAGGCAGAGCGGGCATGACTGAAAGACAAGTTCAATGGTTTTTAAAGTTAAAAGTGGTCACTAGGATGGACCACTAGAATGGTTTTTGGTGCAAGCTATTTTGGCCAGCTACTCTATCTTATTTGTGCAGTATGTTAGTAATACAGAAACATTTACTTATTTTTTTGTCAAGTAGTCGATTTTGTCAACAAGTCGACTAATCAAAATTAGTTTTGTTGAGAATAGCTAGTAGCTGATATTAAAATACACTGCAATATTTGTGTTTATTAGTAGGGGTGAGACAGTTACACAAAGAGGGAGCTCAGATTTTTCCCCAAGCTGTGAGTACTGAAAGAATGCAGAGGAATAAGATTGTGTTGACAGTCTTGGCAGCAGAAATCCAAGCAGCTCTTTCCATATGAAACATCCACTAAGCCCGGACTTTTCCCACACATTCTGTCGAGTGCTAATTAATGCAAGCTACTAACTAGCATGTTAAAAATGTCTGATACCACAGATTTCACGAAGGAACTTTTTCTGGGGTTTGAAAACACACCGTCAGTTATTAATACTGCAAAAGCTTGACCTTTTTTACATAATTTCAAGAGGCCAATTTCCATCTCTACACCTACTCACCTTATTATCAGCTCATTATGTGTAAGAGGGAATGGAGAGCACTATAGACAATAGAGAGGTGCAGAATTTCTGTCATGGTTTGGATAAGAACATGGCTCTGAGTGGGAGCGAAGTAAAGCTCACACAAAAGCAAAAACAAAAGAAGACACAAAACCTGGCTCAGAGCGAGGGCTGTGTGTAGGAAGAGACACCCACTCCAGGTGGCCATGGGTGCTTTGTGAAGGCAAACTAGAAAGTAAACAACATATTGCTTTATTGTGCTACAGTCTATACACTACTGTCTGAGTAGACAGAGGGAGTCAATATGCCAAAATATATTTCATGAGACATGATCATGATTTTTATTTTTATCATTGTTTATGTTCTTGTAGTTTTTGTAGTTTTACACTGTCTCAAAGAAATACTTTAAGTAATCTGCTACTTCTGAACATTTACACATGACTGTGTGGTTAAATCTTACTGTCTGTCTTAATGATGTCACAATACTAAACAATCAAACTTTTGATATTATTGCCTTAGTATATAAAATGATACAAAACAAATGATAGTTACATTATAGTAGTTTCTTAAATATTACCATATAGTCTTTCTGATACACATTAATTTCTGCGATATTTTTCAGGATCAATACTTCAAATGAATTACTAGTTTACTAGTTTCAGTACTGATTAGTATATTGGAGTATATTTATTTTGGACAGCCATCTCTGTCACTCAGAATATGAAGGAGGATAAGCAGAATGTGTGGGAGAACCAAATCTCATGCAGAAAGCCACTCTTCTCTCCCTCTGAGTATCCTGTCAGGCCTCTCCTTTGGGCACTTCTTAAGGGTCATGCTGGTGCAGCTCTGAGGTGGTAGACTGTGCCAAGTCTACTCAGGCTTCAAAGGGCAGCTTTCAAAAGATACTTGACTTTTAGCACTGCGTCTCTCAGCCCACCAAATGTGCCATAATAATGTGCCCTGCTGTGCCCATTCAGGTTTAATAGCACACAGGAAAAATAGAAACATGGCCCAAAATCAAACTTAGTCAAAGCTTTTTATATCAACAGAAAATGACAGACTCGACGTACTTTGGCATTCAACAAATGAACCAAAAATTGTATGCTACATCTTCCAAAGTAGACAAACATATAGACTATATATTCTTAGATTGCAAATTAATGTGTCCAGTCCAACATTATTATTATTATCATCATTATTACTGCAAGATACAATCAAACTAAATTATATGGGCATGAAAATTGCAAATACTAAAATGATTACAGTAATATAATGTCCTTTGTAAACAACTATGTCTCCATGATGAGCCTTACTATGTGTAAAGCCACTCAGTTGTAATAGTGTACATGTAATATGAATTTTAGTTTAGCTGTTAATATTTAATTCATTGCACTCTCCTGGTGTTTAAATACACAATTTCCTGAATCTTGATTAATTTTGTTATGCATAACTGGTTAGAAAAATCTCAGTTAACATATTTTGTCAATTCTCTTGTTTATGTGCACTCACTTGTTTCCCTGGCATTAAAGGATGGGTCAGATTATGTGACCAAACAGAATCTTCCTTTAGGATGATAAAGTAATCTCCTATAATTGTTACTCCACTGCAGAAAAAAATCTTAATGTATCCCTTCCCTTGAATATTTCCATTAATCTTTGATGTTAAAGGGTAAGTAAACTTGTGCATGAGGATCCTCCCTCCTGGAACCACACAGTAAAGAGTAAACCACAAGCTAAAGCCCTTTCCTGATCCCTGAACAAGCTCCATGAAACAGATGCTGTCCGGCTCCAGATGCTGTACACCGCCTCTTATCATAACACAGGTCACATGATCCGACCTTCACGATATGTGTCACGGATGAGAGGGGGGTATAAACAACAGAGGTTCGAGCCATGTTGGAAAGCCTTAATAAAGAGCATACATAAGTACAAAACCGAGTTATCTGGAACAGAAGAGCTCTACCTTCATTTAAAGATCAACAGGGCTGCCTGTCACTGATCTGTGTGGTAAAGCACTGGATAAGCCTCTGTAAATGGAGGAATGAGTCTGTACCCAAGAACCATTATACACTCTACACCGGAGGCATAATTAGATCTATCTCAGAATTATTGCAAGTTTTACTAAACAACTTACTATTTATTAAACAATTATTTTGTATACGATTAGGTCTGCAGAGTCGTACGTTTATAATACTCACTTTGGCCACTAACAATAGGCCTTTTTTCATATTAACTTAGGTCAATATTAAGATGGTATAGAGATATAACTTGACAATTTGTTTCGCTTCGTGCGAATTTTAGAATGAAATAGATCTTAGCAGGCATAATAACAACTGCATAATTATTTCCTATTAAAATTAAACATTTGTTTACAGTTATCTTAGGCATTCAAGTGACAGAACAATAAACACAAGCATGTTGTCTTCATTTAGCACGATTGTGCTGCTGTCATTTCAGAGGAAGCGGAGCAGCTTTAGCGGCGGTATTCACTTCTGTTAACATTTGAGACGTGTGCATTTTACTGCGGTAAATAAGATACAGATACAAAGTGTAAATCGTCTCTTAGGCAAGTCAAAAGCCCATCATCGTAGCGGCTAGCGTTAGCAGCTGCTTCCTATGACAGACAGATGTTGCTGGACAGAAGCATAAGATGCTATACCACTGTAAACACCAAAGTCGCGGGACTATTATGCCTAAACGAAGCATTTAAAGAAACTATCCACAGATCAGATGAAGCCTTACCTTTAGATTTATGCAAGTCTTTGTCACCGCTGTAGACACTTTCTGTTGAGAGCTGTAGCGTTTGTACGATAGCTAGCTAAACGTAGCTGTTCATGAGAGAGACAGAGCACCACTGTTGGGATGAACAAATCCAGCTGGGCGCACAGTCCCGTGCCTCTCGCGGAGACTCTGGGTACAGCGAGGGCGGGACCAATACACAGACAGTTTAAGGGCTAGTGATGAACTGTCACTAGTTTGGACATCTGATTTTGACCATTTGCTGCTTTCACACAAAATTACTAACGAATAAGTCTCGTACGGCTACGATCTGCTGCAGGCATAAGCTCTGTGCTTATAGGGAGCGGAATATTGAACACTGGCTCCCTCTTGTGGAAAAACATACGTATTTAAAGATGTTGACAAGCTATTTGAGATCCGCCTTGTGAGCTCCATCTCAGAGAAGCGTCACCCCCTCAAATTGTAGAAAAGGTGGAACAAGTTCAATGTGGTGGGTAATGGAGGTAAACTTTAGTCAAATGTAAACTGATAGCCTAAATGAATGAATAAATACAATATAAGGCTTTAAATTAAATGTATATGTATGTATTCTGGTGTAGTTCTAGTATACTGTAACAAATGGACATACATTTTAGAATTTATTTTCATAAAAAATGAAAATGAAGCAATAAACTGCGCAACATTGAAAACAAGAACCATGATATCCAATTCAGGGGCAAAAAATAAAAACAGATCTATATAACAAAGGAAAGAACATCCAGAGTGGTTTATCTCCTCTTTTGGAAAATGTTGCCTCTGCCGATTCCTCCACGGCCTCGACCACGTGCAGCCACTGTCCCCAAAAAGAAAAAAAAAAAAGAAGAAAAAAAATGGGGAAAGTCACACAAATATATAATGAAAAATGTTTCAACTGTAGACATCATTTGCAGAACTACTTTAACATTAACAGTACAGTACAGGGAAAATACTACTTAAGAACATGCTAAATATAATACAAACCACATACCCTGTGCTTTTAGAATAGCTGCTTTGCCTCTTCCAGCTCCAGATCCCTGGTTTTTGTTTTTCATGCTCTTTAACATGGGGGCATTTTTCAGCATGTCTGGTAGAATCAGAAATCTGATCTTGCTGCCCCGTATGTAGACCTGCTCCAGCTGTGCAACTCTCCCATCACGATAGGTAACTGTGATGTTGGACATCTACATGATAACAGGTGGAGAAATGAGACTTAAGAACACACATCTAAGAATAATTTACATTATGCAGGCTATATGACGAGAGTACCAATGTATTATTTTTTAATAAGTTAGTCAACTGTTGTATTACTTTTCTTACATTTTAAAATTTGCACTAAGTCGCCAAAGCCAGTCCTTAAAGATGTGACACTTTGATTATTGCATAAACAAATAACAGATGCACATCAGCGAAAGCAGAAGTAATGACACAAGTAAGATGGCATTTTGGGAGTGACTGGACAGTTTTACCAATTTTCAGAGCTTATCCCATTGTTATACCACACCCCTGTTTAGTCGATTAAGCCAGGGGTAATTGATGCATAGCATACTTTTAATCAGCCAACAATTTCTTTAATCAACTATAGTCCAAATGGCTCAGTAGTGAAATTATGGTGTTGTAGTTGGCAGCTACAATAATTGGCACAAAGACCTGTGTCAAATGAATGAATAACAATCTATTCTGAAAAATAGTTAAAACAGAACAATGGTTGGGTTTATTGGCCGACCTGGCAGTTCATGTTGTCCTCAGCTTCAATCAGCTTGCCCCGGTACACCTCTCCAGTGTTGGTCTCACAGGTCACGATGTGTCCCTCTGCTTCATGGAGGACTTTTATGGGGACGCCGATAGACATGTTTTGTTCTTATGTTCCTGCAAATAGACAAGGACAAGTGACAAGGATTGTTGTCAAATAAATAGTCCGACCATATTAGAGTTTCACAGTGCTTTGAACAATTTTACCTCGTCTCTAACGATATTAAACCGATTTCAGAACACAACATAATGGTAGCAGAATTAGCAGTTTAGTTAGCATTTTCTCTATTTTTTGAATGTATGCTTGCTTTTCGAACCCGTGTGTTCCGGTTATGTTTGCAATAGAACACCTTGAGTCGATAAAACATTTAAAGCAGAAAATGTACCCGCAATGTTTACTTTGCTTACGAATCGTAAGGAAAAAAAGTCGACAAAGCAAAGGCATGTTGTGAGGCGGAATCATACAGTCTATGGGCGGAATGAATGGATGAGCGCGATGAACCAGCGGTAAAATGTGCACGATAAAAAATTACATTCAACCATATCATTAAGACGGTAACAATAATTCTCACTTACTTACCTTTTGTAGTAAATGTAATTTATGGTGACCAGCCAACGTGCACTCGTCGCTTTCGCGTATGATCTTTTTGAGCCTTTTTCCGTCTTCCCACAATGCACTACCAATTCAGTGAAGTGCTTCCGGTCTATTTTAGCGGTGCTTTGTGGGAAATGAAGTTATGTAAAATTAACGAAGAACGTAAAGACCACAATACATCCCATAACTTGAGAAACATACAAATAATAAAAACAATAAGGTAAAATACAATAAACAAACAAACAAAAGTGTGATCACCAAAATTAAATCGAAGATTTGTGTGCGTTTGGTCTGCACTTGTCCTGAACAGATTTGATGTTTTTTTTTTTATCACTTTATTTTTATTATATTTGACAGGTTTGTAAACATAAGAAAATATAAAAAGAGGAGAAATAATAATGACAATGGAAGGAAATAAAACAAAACAGAAGCCTAGGTGACATTGATTATTCTACTTTTGCATATATGATGTCCATTTTTCCCATTTCTTCTTCATTTGTGCCTCTTGCAACCTCAGTCTATAAGTTATCTTTTCCATTAGATATATGTCCTTTATTGTAGATGTCCACTGATCCTTTGAAGGCACAGAAGTTGTGCCCCAGTTCCTGGTTATAGATTTTTTGGCCGCTAATGACATGACTTTGAAAAGATATATATCGCCTTGGTGAATAATGTTTTCTGAGAAGTTGCATAGATAGACCAGTTCAGGCGACAAAGGGACAGGATATCCCAGCACCTGCCCCAGTACATCACAAACCACCTCCCAAAATACAGTAATATTTGCACAATTCCAAAATATATGAGAATGGTCTACATTAATCTCTCCACATTTCTGCCAACACATTTGATGTATCCTTAACTGCTTACTCTTTAATTTAGGTGTAATAAAGAATCGAATCAGGTTCTTCCAGGCAAACTCCCTCCATGTTCGAGAGCAGGTGGTGGTGTGGTGATGCCGCCACATGTTTAACCAATCTTTATCTCCAATTTTTATGTTAAATTCTTTTTCCCAATTCCCCTTCACTATTAGAGTTGTGTTCTTATCGTTTTTAGTTAGGGCTTTATATAATGCTGAAATTATTCTAAGATTACCATCTTTATAGGCTTTAATTATTATTTGAATGACATCACTCTCTTCCATGGAGGGGTTCCCCTGTATTTCCCTTCTATGATAGTCTCTCATTTGAAGGTACCTGAAGAAATCATGTTTTCCAAGTTGATATTGCTTTGTCAAGTTCTGAAAACTCTCCAGCTGCCCATTTTTCTCCAGTACACACCAGGCAGTCATCCCTTTTGTTGTCCAGTATTTATAATTTTTGTCATATTTGGCTGGCATGAACTGACTATCATATGCCATCCATTTTAATTTTTTTGCATGGTTTTGAATCTTGTGCTTTCTAAGTATTTTAAACCATATAGTTAATGTATGATTTGTTATGGGATCTAGGTATAATTTATATTCTTCATATAACTCTTTATCTCCAATCATATTCTGAATTGGACCCTCCAGACTACTATTTTCAATATCCTTCCATTTTCCACTGTAATATGGATTACATCAGCAGTGCAGGTATCTTAATTGTGAGGCATAATAATATTCTTCCAACTTGGGTAAGCCCATCCCACCCTTTTCTTTGGGCAGCTGGAAAGTCTCATATCGCACTCTGGGTCTCTTGTTGTCCCAAATGAACCTAGAAAAAATCTTATTCCAAATTGTGAATTGTGTATTAGTGACCCGTACTGGTAGAGCTTGGAATAAAAATAAAAACCTGGGCAAGATGTTCATTTTTACAATATCAATTCTAGAGCTAAAGTCTAAAGGAAGGGTAGACCATCTTTCAATATCTTTCTGTATTCTTTCCTGTACTTGTGAATAATTCTTAGAATTTACTTCTAGAAAATCTGTTGTTATTTCAACCCCTAAATATTTAATGGATTGCATTTTCCAGTTAAATTTCAAGTTTTTTTTTATATTCTGGGAGGGAACATAATTGAATTTTAAAATTTGAGTTTTTGAGATATTTATTTTATAGCCAGACAAATATTCAAATGTGTCTAATAGGGTCATCAGTTCTGGGAGAGATTGATCCGGTTGTTCGAGGTAAGCAATGACATCGTCAGCAAAAAGTCCAATTTTATGTTCAACTCCATTTATTGTGACTCCTTTAATTTCGGGTTTTGCCTTACCGCCTGTGCCAGGGGTTCGATAAAGATAACAAACAGGGATGAGAGAGCCCACATCCCTGTCTTGTTGACCTTTCCAGCTGGATTCTTCCTGTCATATTTCCGTTTATTTTAATTCTTGCTGTAGGTTGAGAATATAATGTTTTTATAATGTCTACAGATTTGGTATTGAAGCCCATTCTTTCCAGAGTCAAGTACAGAAAATTCCAATTGACTGAGTCAAAGGCCTTCTCCGCGTCTATGCTCAACAGGACTACACTTCGATTTTGTCTTTGGGCTCTCTCTGTTATATGCAGGGTTCTCCTGATGTTGTCATGTGTCTGCCGTCTCTGTATGAACCCTGTCTGGTCTTCATCAATTAGATCAGACAGAAATGTGTTTAATCTTTTGGATATTATAGATGTATATATTTTATAGTCTATGTTTAACACTGAAATAGGTCTATAATTAGCACAGGTTTGTTTGTTTTTGCCTGGTTTTAAAATAACTGATATTATTGCTTCTGACCATGAAGCTGGTAATTTATTTTCTTTTAGTGTCCAATTTAATGAATTATGTAAGATCGGTATCAGTTCATTTTTAAATACTTTGTACCATTCAGCTGGGAAACCGTCACTACCAGGTGATTTACTCTTCTTTAGGGAGCCTATGGCACCAAGTATTTCTTCTCTTGTGATCTCTGCTGTTAACGTGTTATTTTGATTTAAACCAATTGATGGGAGATCCATTTGTTGAAGAAAATTTCTCTTACATTCTTCACTTGCTGAAGGAGGCTGTGAATACAGTTTTTTGTAAAAATTTGTAAAAATTCTTTCAATATCTTCAGGTTTTTTAAGTAATCTGTTGTTCTCTGGATCTTTAATTTCGTAAATTGTATTTAATGCTTGCTGTTTTTTAATTCTTTTGGCTAATAGTTTGGTAGATCTAGGTCCCATTTTGTAGTAACTTTGTTTAAAATAGATATGTTTTCTCTCCATTTCTTCTATTAATATATTTTTAATTTGTTTTTTTGTGTCTTGGATCTGTTGACAGATTTCCATTGTTTTTGTTTTTACAAATTGTACTTCGAGTTCTTTAAAGTCTTCCACAACATTCTTCATACCTTTCTATTTTACTTTTCTTCAACCATGCTGTTTTAGCTATTAGCTGTCCCCGAATAACTGCTTTCAGGGCATCCCACATCACTGTTGGGTCTACCTCTCCGTTATCATTCTCTTCTATGTATTGTTGTATTTCCTTTTTTATGTCTTTCACAATTTCGTGGTTATTCAGAATGCCCACATTCATTCTCCACAAGGTCAGTTTTTTTCTATTCGAGATGTTGATTTTCATGTATAGAGCATCATGGTCAGATACATCTGCACATTCAATTTTACATTCTTCCACTCTATATCCTTCTGATTTGTTAGTAAAAAAAATAATCTATCTGTGAATGTACTTTATGTCTGGCAGAGTAGTGGGTAAATTCTTTCTCAAAGGGATGCATGGTTCTCCATATATCTATCAGTCCTAATTCTTCTAGGGACAGTTTAACAAATTTGGATACACTCTTTTTGTTTTTATGGGTACTTGTTGTGTCCAATCTATGATTCAAGACTACATTGAAATCCCCCCCACATATTAAAATACCCTCAGCCTCCATTGCAATTACATTAAACAAAGACTTGAAAAACAGTTTGTCACTATCAGGAGGCGCATATACATTAACTACTGTAATCTTTACATCCTCCACCCTTCCTCTTATTATAATGTATTGCCCATCTTTTCCCTTTATCTCTTTCTCCAACTCTACAGATTTGATGTTAACCTGATCTCCATATGGTAAAGTCTAGGGCTGTAGAAAAGCATTTTAGTCATATAACTTTCAAAGAATTTTAAATTATGATATAGTTGCACATTTAGATATCTAGATAAACATTACTTTTCTTTTAAATCTGGGGACATAGAGTTGTTTTTTTCTTTTTTTTTAAGTATACCCTGAAGCTAGAGAATACAATCCTAAATACTCATATTAATTTTTGTTGAAATTATGGATAAAGATAGGAAGAAAATGACCTTTCAGTCTGTAGACTTTCAGTGACATCAACAAGAACACATACAATCTTATGACTGTATAAAATGTGTATACAACATATTTTAATATGTTTAATATATTATTTTAACAAATTTAAATAAAAAACACAATTTGCATAGTTTATGACAATGTCATAGAATGAAAAGAATATGCAAAAGTTTAAATATACAAATGAGTGAATAACAAGCCCTGTATGTTTACACTATCTGCTGAGACCATGGAGAGAACAGCTAGGTAATGTGGCCTAATGCAGACTGTTTAAAGTGCAAGGACCTTTTAATGAGGAAACGCTAAGTATAATGGCATAATAAAAGACATCACCAAATGAAGGTTAGTTTGATTTCCATTGCATTTGGGTCATTGACTGGCGTCAGTTTCTCTGTAAACACAATTGGCTTTAGTCCTCAGTGTCAAATACTATAGTGTAAGTACAGTATGTTTGAGCTGCCAAATGCCCAAGAGAAGAGATAGTTAAGCAGTTGTTTTGTTTTGGCTAGTGTTCACTGGTCAGTTATAGCTCTGATGCAATAGTACTATATTATACTAGGCAGCATTTGTTGCCTAGCAATTATCAAATCAATGATCAAACCATACAATTCAGTGCTTATTCTCAGAAATGGCCTCACTCTCAGCCTCGGGTTCACCCAAAATGTTGATTTTTCATTAAATATTTCATTAAGTACCTTTTGTTCAGACAAAAATATGAAACGCTAAACTTTATTTCAAAATAATAAAATAATATGAATCAAGAATCATTACATATTGTTGACCAGCTTAATAAGAGTGCCCACACATCATTAAATAGTCTCAAAACAGAATTAAGTTGAAGATGTTTGCCTCTCATTCAAGATGCGTAGTTCATTCTGAATAGAAAATTATTTCCTATGGAACTCTCCTGGTTGACAGAATCATTGGATATTGAAAATATTTATGCTATGAGACTTCTGGAAGTTTTGTTGATTGCTTTGAACCAGTCTGTCTTTGCATGACAACTTGAACATTGACAAAGGTAATGTTTTGGTCATTGTCCATTGCTTTCAGAAGATCCCTATGATTATCTCCATAAGGCACTGATTGGTCCCCTAAGAAGAACTGCTGATGGACCTGCGAAACATGTGTGTTAACTTTGTGTCCATTTGGTACAATAACATTTGACGTTGTGCCCAATGTTGTCCTGTTGTTTGGGCCTTCATGTGCAGCTTTTGGTGGCAGGTTTTCAGAAGCTGAGTCTACAGTGTAACTATTCACCACTGTGCTGCATGAAGACCCTTCTTTACTTGTGTGACAGGATGATCGCCTTCTATAACTAGATACAGAGTTATTGCAGTTCATAACATCTCTCTTCTGTCTGTCTCTGCACCCAAGTATATGCTGAGACAGAATCCTTCGAAATGTGTGTCTAAACTCCCTAATGCGGTATGCGTAGATAAAAGGATTGACAACCGAGTTTGCATGTGACAAAATAATTGCAATGTTCATGACCCAGATGTGTGGACGCTCACAGCCATGACACAGGTGGTTGAAGCAGTTGATGATATGTAATGGCAGCCAGCAAAAGGCAAACAGACCAACAATAATGGCGAGGGACTTGGCTGCGTGAACCTCCTTCTGCAGGGTAGTTTTTGAGGAGACTGTTGGGACCTCGCCACTAGGCCGTGCAAGTGCACATTTAAGTCCAATAAGTCTGAGCTGGCGTCGAGCAGCCATGAATATGTTAGCGTAGATGACCAGCATAGCGACTAGGGGCATCAACACGCATCCAAAGAAGTTGAAATACACCATGTAATGTAGGGTGACCACACCCTCAAACAAGCACTCCGTCATGCCGCGAGGGCAGCTGTTGCTGTTGGTAGTGTTTCCCCCTGTGAAAAACAATTATTTCAAACATTAGGTGCTTAAAGGTGAAGTTAAGGCACAAAGAAGTCAAATCACCTGTGTTCCAGCCCATCATTGGGGTTAGACCAATTGCCACAGAAAGCAACCAACACAAAGCAATAATGTTTTTAGCTCTCTGTCCTGTGACAACACTGCTGTATCTGAAACATAAGAGGGAAACAATATTAAAGGACCATTGATAACATTACTGTATATTAGATGATTGAAAACCTAGTTTCAAATAAATAAGAAAGGTAACAATAAATAGTTTAAAATATTGTATTTCAAATGCAGTGTTTAAAAACAACCCCTACCCGCCTGTATTTTCTGCAGTGCTTTCCAAGTTAGTGCTATTTTGTCAGGGCTACATGCCAGAACTGACCTACCTAACGGCTTCAAGGTAAAAACTGAAATTGAAAGTTGCAACTGCAGTTGCAGTAAACAGAAAATAACATTTGCGTTACAAGTTATTCTACAAACGATTCACCCAGATGTAACTATATGTAACAGTATAGTACAACAAAAAGGTGGCTATGGTGTCCATCCATCCATTTTGTTCCGCTTATCCGGGGCCGGGTCACAGGGGCAGCAGTCTAAATAGGGACTCCCATACTTCCTCACCCCAGACACTTCCTCTAGCTTCTCCAAACAGTCTGACATGTCCCCCCCGGACCTGTTTGCTTTGGGTGACCCTACCAGGGGCATGAAGCCCCCAACAACATAGCTGCTGGGATCATTCGGATCATTCAGGTATTCACACCCTTCCACCATGTTAAGATGACGGTTCAAGGAGGGGCCATGATGTTATACATACACATGTACATACACACACATACCAATTATTGTTTTATTGTAATCCTATACTGTATTTTGTCACCTGAGTGGATTCTTGATGGCGATGTATCGATCTACAGCAATGGCCAGCAGACTGAAGATAGAACTCTGTGTGAGCACCAGGACAAAGCAGGCGATGAAGAGACAGCCATAGAAGTGGGCACAGAATCCAGTACTATGGTTAACAAGACATGGCATTAATATAGATATTTTTTGTATATTGTTGAAGTTTGATGAGTCTGTACCTTATGGCAATAGCAAAGGGTATGGCAAGCAACCCCACTGCAATGTCTGCCACAGCCAAAGACACCACAAACAAGTTGGTGACACTCTGCAAGTTGGAGTTGAGGCAAACAGCCCAACACACCAGAACATTACCGACCACTGCCAAACAAGCCATGACCACCTCCAGGCCAATGTAAACCAGATGGCCATTCTTTATCATGGTGACCCTATCTTCTTCGTCTTTCCTCTTTCATCCCCCACAGTTAGCCATGCAAAGTGACTTCACAACACTTGGAAACTTTTTGAACTGCATACTCTAATATGAGGTCAGAATGAGTGTGTCAGCTGATATAAAAAAAAAGACAGGAAGTCCTCACCACAATGTGTTTGCTTTACCTTTGATTCTCACAGCCTATCAGCCGTCCTCATTTACCATCAACCTCCGTTTTTGTTCCTACTTGTTTTTGCGGTAAATTGTAGCACTGTAAATGTAACCTTATTGAGAGATTTGATAGTGGATGGGAAGCCAAGTTAAAGCAGTAATCTGTGAAGGAAAAACAGGTACAATGTCACTGCCGGTACAAATAGTCTGTATTTGAGTACACAGGTCAAAAAAACATCTATCTTTGTGAGAGGAGAGGACAGATTGTTTTCTAAACTCGGTCAAAGGAAAGACTTTAACAATGCACCCTTTATTTCAAGAAAGTTTCCCGAAAAACTACTCAATCCTGACACTGGCACAGGCTCTTTTACACTGAGAGCCAAAAATAGCCAGTTTTGATACTTGATAGTTTGTATTCTCGTGGGCCAAATGAAAGGTACAGGTGTTCTAAGGTAAAATGACTGCTCAGTGGTGCCAAGGTTGCATAGTACATGGAATCTGACAAGATAAGATTGGAAAGGATTGAGTGCATTTCAATATGATACTTGATGCTTGACTTAGACTAAGTGTACCTCATAGAATGGAATAGGATAGATAGGATAGGAATTCCTGGATCCCAGGAATTGTTATGCACATTACACTTCCGAGCTAAAACATATTAATTACAGGTGTTTTTAACACATTTGATAGTTGTATTAAACAAGCGAGGCATTTTGTGTCTTTTCTCTTAAATAATAGTTGTACTGTGTACAAGTGTATTAAACACCTTTATCATACCACACAGTTCCAATATGGAAGTGTTTAGACTAATGCACAGGTAGTTAGTCATTGGTGATTTTCCCTTTGCATATAATTATAACTAATATTTAACTAGAAGTCAGCCTACCCTTTTTCCACTGTGGTAAAGAGTAATGTGATTCATATGTCACTGTGTTTGACATACAAGTGTACAAATGACAAAGAGAAAGACCGTAAAAGCACTCAGGCATGTCAGATGCCACATACAGTTAAAGTGTACAAACATAAAACATGAATAGAGTATATATATATATATATATATATATATATATATACACACATGTATATAGAATATAATATATATATATATATATATATATATATATATATATATATATATATAGAGAGAGAGAGAGAGAGAGAGAGAGAGAGAGAGAGAGAGAGAGAGAGAGAGATAAATAGATAGATAGATAGATGGATAGATAGATATTGATAATAATGCTTTTGAACTTTTCTATGTGTCACATATTTATCTTACAATTTTAAAATAGTTATTGATTTTGTTTGATCACATTTTTATTTTTTTTGTCTACTTTTATCAAAATTTGCAAACAATGAATATTAGTGGAGGCAAAGTTCAGCATTACTTAAGTTGTTCTTGGAAGCAATAAAACTGAGGTGGTTGGTGCCTGGATGAGAGTCACATGTATAATAATAATATTAAGCCAATGAAACAGTTGCATCATCCACTGTTCATTGGTTTACAGTAACCGACAATGCAGCCGAATTGGGACGACTGCATTGTCAGTCTTGCGTGTCAGATGAGCTATTAACAGCCAATAACGGATGTGATAAGAGCCATGCATGTGCATCCTGTCATGTAGGATATCATTGCCTTGTGTCAGTCATTGTGCACGCTGTAGCCTACTTCAACTAATGGCAAAGAAAACCAAAAGCTATAGCCTAGATGTCAAGGTGGCATTGTAGTGTGAGCAAAACGGGAGCTATTTCGAATAGGCTTAAATAAAACAGACATGAATCAAAGTGGAAGTCTGGAAACTACAATTCTAGTCGCCTATTGTACCATCATTTTTGTCTCTTTGTGTATAGGCTAAATATTCATACAATATAAATATAAAATAGTCAGCATAATTTCGTACTTCTGAAAAGAAAAATCATCACATCATCACATTTCCAAAACAATTTTGAAGCAATATTAACTATCAACCAAATAATTCTTACCGTGTTGTGATCACTCGAGGCTCCGTAGTGATCACAAAAAAAAAGAAAAAAAAAAAAAAAAAAATGTTCGGTGAAGCAATGTGCATAACTGTTATAATCCAGTGCAGTGGTTGCAGGTGTATTCACTCACACACGACTGAATGAACAGGAAAATACAGCTCCAGAGAGTGAGTAAAATCGTCACACCCCCGAAAGTGGCCCCCAGCTTCTTGCGTAAATGTGCGTAAATGTGTGAACATCACTTTGCGTTTGCACACCTACGCCATAAAATTGTCTGTTATTTTGTTTTTCACACGATGCCTTTGTCATGGTTTTCAAATGCTTAATTTGTAGTATAGGTCTACTTTAGTGTGGTTTTAGGGAACTAGGCTAGGATTTTTTTTATTTTTTATTTATTTGTTTTTATTTTTTTATATACATCAAGGCAGTAGTAGAGCATTATGCTTCCTGGTGTAGATCTAGTATGTAATAAACTTAATCTACCATCTTTTTATGGAAAGCTGACTTTGTAGGTCTAGACTTAATGACTTAATAATTATAATGGAGTATTTATGGTTTCAGAAAAGTTCAAATAAAACCATAATTTACATGATTTGTATGAATGGTTTTATAGATATCCTGCTATCTTAAGTATAATCCCCAGTTTGAAATGAAATAGTTTTATAATGTTGTGTTATCTTCCATAAAGTTCAAGAGAGACTAGGTGTAGATACAGAAGGTTTTTATTTAACATTTTGTGTACAAACAAAGGCCGCAACTGCCTTCCAATGCCTTTTCTTTTTACAGTTCTAGCAGAACGTTGACTACTGAAGAGTAACCAAAGTCAGAGCGAGATATAAACTGCAGCTTGTTGTCCTGAAAGTACTGTACTTAGCAAATATTTCAAGTTGTGAAGAAGCTCAAAAAGAGAACTACACTATTAAAAGATTGTGACAAGTTTATTATTATTATGTATTTTGTTTCATACTAAAATGTTAAATGTTTTCAGCCAAGTACTGAAGGATTGTGAATATTGTGGTATCTCATGGAAGGTACATGCAGTTACACAGACAATCAACAGACCAAAACAATGCCATTTGACACTCTCTCCTCTACCAGCAACGGCTACTGACTGACTTTTATTTGGACTAAAGTTTTGGCAATTCCATCTATTATCAACAATCAATGGATGCCACATTAAATAGAATGGATACCAAATTTTCACTTTTCTATAATACATATTATACAAATCTATGGAAAATAGGAGAATGTTTTGAATAGACCCTGCCCCTACTGAATCAAACAATCACAGTGGCCAGTCCATTGTACATTACACCTAAAGCAGGGCTGGAGTTTTACACATTAGTCATTGATTTGGGACAGTAGTAACAATATTAATATGACAAAGTGATCAAAACATAATATCCCTAACATTAATTTAGTTTTCAGATGATAATATTCATAAAATAAATAGATACAGTAGACTTTCTTTGAGCAAGCTGTATCAAAACAAAAATAAATACAAGTGAACAGAAAATAATGAGTACAAAAAAACAGTTAGCACAGCGCTACAGTCAGATGAATGTGTACAGCACAGTATGAGCTAAGACAATGCTAAGTTTCCAGGTCCTGTCTTAGCAAATAGAAGATGTATGTGTCTCCACAGCAAAGGCAACAAGAGACTAATAACTTGGTTGTAATAGTCAATAATCTCACTGACCTTGAATGTGTCACAGGCGCAAAGCAAAAGTGTTGAGGCACAAGAGGACGCAGTAGTGTAGGCAATAGGGTTTGAAACAAAGGTACTTTAGATAACACAAGTAAGTGACGCTACAGTAAGTGTAAGACAGTGGTTTTGTTGCCATTTTTAGGACTTTGGCCTCTGAAAATTTGATGCACATGCCACGCTAACATAAACTAATACATCTGAGCATTGATAGTGTCAAAGAGAACAAAAACATCCAGGATAAGTCTTTTGGTAATGTGATGGACTAAGCCCTTATACTGACTAGCATATGAGATGATGCCAGGACACTTTTATACTGTGCTTTTTTTCTAAAATGCTTTAGAAAGGGACAACTCTAAAATTTAAGACTTAAGTAATAAATCACATTTGTGACAACAGAAAATCTAAAACATGCCTGCATGTTACCAAACTACAAAGAAAGAGAAAAATATTTTGGCCATAAAATTGGACACCCTCAGGAGAGAGAAAGACAGAAAAGACATAATGTAATCTTCCTTCATTCACTCATAAAATTGCTCCACACTGGTCAGACATACTAAGCGCTCAGGTCACTTGAATAGTAAAACAGTAGTTTGAACATCAGAGAGTGCACTTCTGCAGCCACCACTCACATAGAACTAAACAATAATGTATACAGAATATTGTGTGTGCTGTATTATGACATTGCATAATGTCTAAACTACGTAGTTCTCTGGACATGAGCACACATCCATTTGCTACACAGCTTGTGCCTTTTCCATGGCAGCATACACTATGTAACAGTGCATGTAACCATCAACCATCAATAACAATAGGCTGGAGCAGTTGAGCAGTGTCTAAAATAAAAAGGCTAAATCCTGCTTTTCACTGCAAGACCTGAAGTCAAGGCTAAAACCTACCATATCCAACCCAAAAAGACACAAATAATAATTTCACCCAGGACCCCAAAATAAGTTACATTAATAACAATGAGTATATTGTTAATCAAAAGTAAAGAATACAACTTTAAAGTTTATGTACATACAGTATCTGTAAATACATCTTGTTCTGTTTCACCTACTAAGTAACTCATTTTGGCAAGATGTCCTATGTTACAGAAAAAGGACTTATTGTATGCTCAATGTTCATATGTTAGAAAATATATTGCTTCCTGGTTATTTAAGCTGCAGACTATTGTAGGACATAAACACAACACAAAGACAAACTGTTTCCTTTAAGTGTGACATCTGTGAAGACTCCCAGTGCAGTGTGCAGCAGCTTTTCACTTGTACTGCTTTTTCTCCAACCAGCGCTGTTTACGTTGTAAACACTTGAGTGGACAGGTGTGGTGCTCCTGTGGCTTTCTTGACATGAACAAGAAAAGGCCAATAATGTGGCAAGTCCTGTGCAAGACTACTTCAAAAGTCCAAAGAGAAATTGCAGAAATTACTTTTAACAAACTATACATTTGTATATTGTGACATGACTTGGAGGTTGAGATAACTCGCTGATGTTAATTTAACACTAATGATTGTCCAAAAGTAAAAACAGTTTAATGGTCATGAGAACAGAGTTTTGTTTTGATGTGGTCCCATTCATAGTGTTGTTTGCTTATAGACCATTCCAGGTTTAAAGATGAAGGTAAAGATGAGGAGAGCATATCACTGCATTCAGGAGAGAATGTGTGATGCAGTGTAAGAAGAGAAACAAACATGGAGGACCATACACTATGACCTCCTGCTCCAGTGGCACCTTCAAGGTTTTTTCAAGACGCCAGTCAAAGTCTTGAGTCAATTTAAAACATCCTACAGTCAGCTCACTTTGAGCCAGTGTCTTTATACATGATGTCCTGGGTCTCACACTTCTGTGGAGAAGAGGATGCTCTGCCGTTTACTGTCTGGAGTGGGGATGGTTTCCAGCTGCAGAAAGTATAACAGCACCTGGACCTGAGGAGGGAAATAATATAATTATTATGCATGTTTTGTTACTCTGGACTGTCTGTGGAAAGTTTGGGATTATACACATTTTGCATTTCACTCAGATTATACACTTTTTTTGAGTGCAACTTCTTCTTTAATTCTCTTCTGTGTGAACTAAGTTGCTCAAAATAAACAGATAGTAGTGTATTTATAGTAAGCACATGGCTAGTTATTGTAGTGTCTGACCTGTGACATGACTTCCTGGGACCAGCTGTCACCCATGCTGATTGGCTGCGTGGGGTTGGCAGGGATCTTGCTGTCCTTCTCAGAAGGCCTCAGTAAGGTCGGCCCAAACACTGTTGCCAGGTTGTGGAGGGACATCTTGTTGATGCTCTCCTTCTCTGCCACCCTGAAAGAACACAGGCATATTATCAGAAGAATAATGGCTATGGAGAGTATTTTATTCCAAATTGTGTAAATCTATCACAGCAATACCCAGGTAAATCATATAATGGCACCTAGTATATTATTTATTATTATTTTGACCTAGATTTCAATGTTTTATATTATACTGGAATGTTATATAAGTCTTTGTTTTTATACACAACACCAAGTTACTACAAATTCTACCACAACTTCCTACTGGAAGACACAAATATACACAAATATTAGACATATGGTAACATTATGCTATATTTGCTTTCAATGAACAATGTTACATATTCCTATGTAAATAGCTCTTTGTGTCCCTCACCTTTTGAGGTGATCCAATAGAAAAAGGAACGTGACTAGGTTGGGCTCTGGCAGTGACAGCAGGAGGTTCAGCATACAGCTTTCTTTGGCAACACTGTCCGTGAGCGCTGCAATGAAAAGATAATGTATGTAAGATAATAATGTATGTCTATTCATTGTTTATTCAACAGTCCCAGAATTAATCTTTTCAGGGAGCATTCATTGTTGTTTAAGACTCAGTTTACAACTAGTCTCTCAGTTCATTGCCTTATTGATTAGACGGGCCTGTATCACCTGTCAATAATGTAAATGAAAGTAACTCACTGATTCCGCCTGCAAAGTTGGGGTAGAGTTCATCAGTAAATAGTGGTTCTGGCAGCTCCCTGAAGTACAGCTTCAATGTCCCAGCAATGGCATTCACGTCCATTTCACTCATCATCACTGATACATCCTTGTTATCTGATATAGGAATAAGAATCAAAAACTCTGATAATTTCAAAAGTTATCAACGATGCTATACATTTACAAACTGGGGGAAGTTAGCTTGTATAATATTTATTTCTTTATTCAATAAATTGGGAACTAAAAAGCTTACAAGCAGAAATAATACACTAATTTCATACAGACTATTTAACACAATTGGTGCTGAATAGAATTATTTGTAGTGGAAAAACTTTACTTACTTGTATCAAATGCTGTTTTCAGAGCTTGTATGTCAGTGGCTACTCCTGATACTCTGTAGATTCCAACCTCCTCCATCCCTCTCCTCTCGATCTCCTCCACACACTGCCGAACTATGTAGGGTACTTTGGAACGCTCTCGCCTATGTAGGAGTCACAACATTGAATAAAGTCCACTGAATACAATTGCATTTGTTGGAATAAAGCTATTATTTTACTGTATGTACTACTTAAAGCCTTAAAGCCCTAATCAAAATACAGTGTTGCCATTTTGGTCATTAGAAATCTAATTTAGCCTTTATAATTTCAAATCATCTCACTTGGTAACTGTAGAAAGTTTGACCCCAAACACGCCCATGGGTTTCCGGGAGGGCATCCTCTTCAGACTGAACTCCCGACTGGTGAATTTCATAGACAGTTTTACCTCGATCTATCACAATAGGACAGAGGATACAATCACAGCATTTACTTGAGAACAAAACTGGCTTTCCACTAAATTAAAACAAAACTCATTCATCATACAAAAGAAACAAATTGCCCATGTGCATATAAAAACTTGTACTCACCCCATTCATAGGAATCACTGTCCTCTGCCAGTCTTTGCCTTGCAGAATCTGAGGGTCAAGCTAAGAAGAACAATGTAACAATATACATATTATTTATGAAATCAAAGTTTGTTTAAAATTACATCATCAACAAACACTGATATTGCTGAAGAGAGTTACTGATGAAGCCACTAGGGGGAGTATATGACTGGCATTCACATTTAACTCTTTACTGACACGTGGTTATAAAAGAGGTGTAATAGTCATTGTTGATGGAGATTGTTGTTAATTGTTCACATTATTTAACAACAATAATTAATGTGAGATATAGAAGTCATACAGAAAGTGAACATTTCTTGCAAATGTTTTTATTTCCAATGCAGAGTCTCATTAACAGGTGCATTAAATGCATTTGCCTAAACAATGGATGATTAGTTCAAAATCTATTATTATGTCCATTTAATGGAATGTCCTTCATGTTATCTCTCCATTTGACATTCATTGTGTACACAGTGACAGTCAGTCAGTGTTTTTATGCAAACCAGCAGCATCATGAATCAGGATCGCACAGTTTAATGCAAATCTTGGGCTCTATAGAAGCAGTGACGTAACTGTCATGTGTAGTCAGAGTAGGTGTGTGGATGAAAAAGATGACGTCATGTCATACCGGCAGCTGTCCTTTCCCCATGATGCGGTCTGTGCTCTCTCCATCCTCTTTGTTCTGCTTGGTCTTGTTGTAGCACTTCTCATAGCAGATCAGCCTCAGGGTCTGAGAGCCCTCCAGGTCAATCTCAAACTCCTGGAGCAGAACAAATTCAAAGTGATTATAATTAGCGCCTCTTGATTCAAAATTAAGGTAATCATACAATAGCAGAGATATTTATATGCAGCATATAATACACACAAAGCTTGTGTGCACCTTCCAAGGGCGGTTAAAATTAAAACCTAAAATTATGTGGGAACACTTGTGCATATGGTTTGGGCATCGTTTAGCAGCTCACACTGGTTCACTAAACATTGGGCAGATGTGAGTCATCAGCAGCAGCTCTTCATTAGCTGACATGATTTCCAGCTAAGAGCAAAATACTTGAAGATACTTGGTATGTCTAATGGAAAAGATTGCATTGTATTTTCAAACCTTCTCAAAATTTTGACATCTGGTCATCACAATACATGTTATATTTTAGATGTTGTATGTATGTAATGGTTCTAATACAACTATAGACGGTTATGTTTTACATTTACATTTTTGCAATTCAGTGCCTCACCTCATTCCATTTGGGCTCAGTGGTGTATCGGTACACTCTTGTTTTTGCTTTATTAGAGAAGAAGCCAAAAGAGTCCACCTCCAAAGTGCAGTAGAGATCTGTAAACAAGAGGACACATGACTAGCCTCTAAGTAAAGTACAGATGTGTCCTCTAAACCTGGACAAATAGGCTGGACACAGTGTATTAATAGTAGACAGATATAGTTCATTCAGTCTGATTCTTTCCATATTTACTGGGGCTGGAGGTGAATGACTCACTCAAGCTCTGTTTGAGGCCACAGGCAGAGTGGACGATTACATTCAGGAAACCGCTCAGACCAGGACACTCATCATCTGAGAAATACAAAAAGGTTAGATTTACATTTTTATTTGAGGAACAGCAATGACTTAAGAAAAATAGGACGAGATTCTAAGCAATGTATAAAATCCAGATTTCTCACCTTCTCTGTTGATGCTCAGAGGAATGTGATGCACTGTCTGCAGTTTGATGCAGGAGCTGGTCAACATTTGCAGCTCCATAGATGACAATGAGGGAGTTTTAATACCTTTAGTCAAGAACATCAATAACAAAACAACTTTTTAGCATGTAGTGGAAGTGGTAATGAAGTGAGTGTGAATTTTAATAAAATTATAATGTACATTTCTTTTGTTGCTCTTTCAGGACCTCTCTCCACTCTGCCCGCTCATAGTCAGATGACATTAAGAAAGCATAACTCTGAAACAGAAATCAATACAAAAGCGTAAAACACACATGCTGACAATGTGACAAGTTACTTAACATGAAAAGAAATTCTAATACAATTATTTTAAAATTAAGAAAAGTTCATCTTCATTAATTACAACATTTATAACCAAATAGTTCATAAAAACAGTTGTAAAAAATACCATATCTTTAAATTATACTTTCTTCCTCAGACAGTGCCATTAAGTTTAAATTTGAGTAGATTTGACAAGAAAGGGAGGGATGGTTTATAATGTAATTAGATTACATACTCCTTTTTTCTAAAAATAAAAAAGGACAAAATATGATACATAAATAATTCCCTCAGACATGAATAATATTGCAGAGCTCACCTTGCTGTTCTTGTGGTACAGTCTGAGAGGCATGCTCGGAGACATGAGCAGCAGCAGAGACTCCTGTTCGGACAACTTCTTCCTGAGACGATCGATGACCTTTGACCCCTTGTTGGCTCTCTGTAACCACACAATTCAATAAAAAGACCTTTGTTAGCAATCAGTCAAAGAGATATCCTGTGTCGGTTAAAGTAGGTTAATGAATGGTGCTTCCCAGAGGACATATGCTGTAGGCTTGTTCATGTGGAAGAGATGTGTGTAGCACTGCAGACCCACCTTCTCTCTTTGCAGCTCACTGCGTAGGTGGGAGATCTTCACCTTGATGGCGTCCAGCTCCTCGTCTGGGACCTGAGGTATGGTGAGGGGCTCCGCCTCCTCCGGGCTCTGGAATGTCAGCTCTGTCAGAGGGATGTACCACTTGCTGTCGTACTGCTGGCTTTTTCTGTAATGTTTTTAAAAATAATATGTAAAAAAAAGAAATCAATAAATAATGGTAAAGGAGCTGCAGCTGATGATTAAAATAATCATAAATGTATTTTGATAATCATAATTGTTACCTGGATTATGTAGAGTCTTTAAAACTGAGACTTAGGCATTATTGACCCACAATCTTTATTTGGTTAAAATATATATTTCTAAAATAATAGTCTACTAATTTGACAAAAATAATCACTTATTGCAGCCAGAAGAATTAATCTTCATGACAAAGGAAATATTTGCTGTTGCTCAAGTTAAATTACTAACTAAAGCATGGCTAAGTGTTAGGGTCCATGTACACATGTGTTAAAAAAGCGACATTTAGAATTGGCCAACCTAAATTACTCCATTTCATAGTTATAGCACATTAACTCTCTTTCAAGAGTATATTTCATCTTTTATTTGACCTATTTAACCAAGCAACTTTCTCTTGACTATTTAGATAAATCTATGAATAACAATACATGAAAAATTAAATTTACACATTTTACTAAAATATTGTAAATACATCTACTTTTTCATGAAGCCAGTTAACATATTGCAATATACATGATATTCAGTCTACACTACTGGAGAAATCGATTTAATGCACATGCCTGAGTTAATTACTCTCTCTTTAATCAAATGTAAAAGCATTGCAGTAGTCTGTCTTACCCTCCAATTTGTTTCTTAAGCTTGGTGCAAAGCAGTAGATCACTGAAGAGGAACACATGACGAAGCTTCCTGGCTCCTTCTACAAGCTCCACCATGAAACTGTCCTTCAGCAGCTGTCTGTTCTGTGGGCATAACACATATGGGGAATAGTGTTAATAGCAATTAACTATTTTAAATATTTTTTTTATGGTAAAGATTGCAGAGTTTTGTTTTGTTTTTAATAAACTTCAAGTGCATATATTTCTTTTCATCAATTTCCATAGTGTCAAAAGTCTACCTCCAATATGAAGACAAGAATACAATCGTGACAAAATTAGGTTGATAAATTATTTAATCAATCAATTACATTCAAATCAAGTTTTGGATGAAGATCTCTTTTGAAGCTTTGGAACTTCACACTGATGTCAGACTACATAATGAGATGCACTTATTTAACTGTCCAAAAGGAGGCAGTGATGTTCTTCCTTACACAAAGGACCATTTGCAAGTAGAAGCAGAAAAGACAAACAGAGAAGACAAATGCCAAACCACAACTCAAAGCACAAGGCTTTCTTTTACATCCCCATAACCATGTTTTAATCTGCGGTGGGGCAAATACAATCAACTGTGGCTTTTTAGGAAAGCGACGTGTTGTTCTGTTTAATAACATGGATTCATACATTTTTAGTTTGTAGAGGCAAGCAAAATGTATGTGATTTTTTTTAAATATTTTTTTTTTGCCACAGTTTGAGAGATAAAATGATGTGTGTTTCTCAAAATGGCAGATACATTGGCAGAACTTGCACATTAAAAATAGGGGAAATTTAGCTGACACAAGGGATTTAATTGTTATCACAGTCTTCTCATTCTTAAGCAGCAAAATTCTTTGGTTTAGACAAAATCAATGAACTTGATAAATGATTATAAAAACTGCAAAAAAAAATTAATTCATTATTTAAAAAAAATAAACCAGCAATGGTGAAGATAAGGTGCAACCAAGACCAGCAATTGAACCATCAATAGTTCACACAAAGACCAATGTTTATTTATTTTTATAATTCTTTATTTATTATTTATTATGTTATTGTTTATGTATTTTTTGATGGTGTCTGTGAGTAGCCAATATATGTGTTCCTTGAAACAAAGCAAGGTTTGATTGTGTTTGAATTAAACATTTGACTGGTAATTTTTACCATGCAACTCAACCAGATACAAATTCGGTTTTGTATTTAACTAGACGAGATGAAGTCATTTTGGGTCTTATTAATGATCAATCAAACCACATTCAAGTGTACATTTAATACTAGACTAAGACACTAAGTAAGATCAGTAAGCCTATTAATCCTTCATAATGCAATCTCTCCTTCATGCTGCTGTTCGTTATCATTGCAGTATTCAAAATCCAAACTGCATATTTTTCAATGACACACAGTTCTTTATATTGAGCAAATATTACTCTGCAGCAGGGCCACAATGCATTACATCACACTTTTCCCAGACCAATCAGCAGCCTCATCATGTGTGCGCCAGCCCCTCGTCCCCCGACTGCTCTGTCACCCACACTCTCATACTGTCACTGCCAGAAGACACTAGAGTGGAGCTGGAGCTAGCACAGGTGAGCGCTATTGGCTTATCCACTTTTAAAAGGACATCTGCAGGCGAGCATCCTGCTGTGAGGATACCATGGTACACAAGAGAAGAGAGAGACAAAAGGGAATAAAAAGAAAACAAGACAGTCTGGCATTAAAGTTTTGAAATCATATCTTAAAGGTGCACTATGCAACTTTTCTGGTGGTGGGGGTTTGCCACTTGGTTATCTCCATAGATATGTAATTGCTTTGCCTGAACTATTCTACAGTATGGCATTAAACTTGTACGTCTAGAACTTTTGTTGTTGTTTCTTTTTGTTTCGTTTTCTTTAAAATACCTTAAAAATAAATACATAAAGTACCTTGGCTTGGTGGCATCACATACTTTTAATGCTATACTCTGGAACATTATAGGCAAAGTAATAACATCTTCACGGAGACAAACAAGTGCCAGATGCTCCACCAGAAAAGCTACATTGTGCAGCTTTAAATATGTTTTTTCATATACGCACCCAACTCAAAATGATGTGACCTATTTAGAAACAGAGGAAAGGACAGTTGCATATACAGCTGCAGTGAGTTATTGTATTAAGTTGTACAAAATGTAAGTATGTTTTCTAATGCCTATTATATTGTCAATACTAGGCCAAGGACACAGACAAACTACCCACAGTCTCCTATAAAATATAAAAACATAAACATACATAAAAATTACACAATAACTTCCTTTAACCCAAAACATGCTACATAGGTCTCCAAGAACAGTTAATAGTCAAGGTCAATTAAATACAATCAATCAATGAACCTGTCCAGGGCACTGGTGCTAGTGGCTAGACACTTCACCCACATTGCCTAGTATGAAAGTGGTGTGTGCATGAGTGATGGTGGTGGTCGGAGGGACTGTTGGCGCCGATTGGCATGGCAGCTGCGTCTCTGTCAGTCTGCCCCAGGGCAGCTGTGGCTACAACAGTAGCTTACCATCATCAGGTATAGAGTGAATGAGTAATATATGCTGAATGTAATGCTATGTAAAGCGTCTTTGTGACAAAAATGTCTGTGAAAAGCGCTATATAAATGGGGACTTACTTACTTACTTACTTACTTTATCATTTCCTACACAATCAACCTCTCTTTCAGATAAAACAAAAATGCATGCTATTTTGGGCTATGTAGTGAGTGTGTCATGTTCTATCAATGCAAGAATAGAGGTTAGCAATGCAGATGGATTCCAGAAACTTTATGAATAAGAGCTGCTTTCAATCTTACAATAAGCACTGTATAATGCAATCTCCATCCTCCATTTGAAGCCCAGACTGTTGTTCATTAGAGATTACAAAGGCTGTTATGATAAGCATCTATAACAGACAGTTCCAGATGAGTCCCTCTGCTATTTCTAGAGACAGGAGCTTTAACAAAATAGCAATCAACATAGATTTGGGGTTGTTGATACTATGGAAACCACATATGTGAAATCATTATATGTATATCAAATCATTTTATGTATATGTATTATAATCCCTTGAGCTGCACTACAATACAAGTCATCACAGCTTTATCTTGTCTTGTTCTATCAATCTATGTTGCAATGTCATTCTATATCTAGCGTTTTGTACTTGTTACTGCTGCGCCATCTTTTAGAATCTGAAACACTGAACAAGCTTGCATGGTGAGTCAATTTCCGTAAAAAAAAAATCCATAAATAGACTAAAAACTGCTTTAAAATAAAATACATAGTCAATTTGCAATATGCAAGATGAGACTTTCCCACAAATCAGCTGCAATTTCATGGAAAAGAAAAGGATATCGATCAGATTATTGAATGTAAAGTAGAATGGATTATACAGTATTACAACACAAATCCCCACTAATTGGCCACAAACTAATGCTGAGTCAAAGTAGGAATATGATGTTGAAATGCTGTGTTTAGAGCAAAATGAACTGCCTTGTCCATGGTTTTAAAGAAGGAAGATACAGGTAACATGGCAAATGTAACTGAGTCTCAAATGGCAACTTCATAGCCGATTTCTACCTAATGCTGCTTCAGACCAGGATTTGACATCACACTTGACAACTCTATTTAGAACATCATTGATTCACTGATATACATATATATTACATACAGTATATATAATCCTGAAAATCTCATAAAAATTTCAACAACAATTTGTATGTTTGTAATCCAATCAACATGAAACAGACCAGTCATAATGGGTGGAGAAGCTACCATTGATATTGTTCAACATTGCAGCCAATATGTTCTGCATTTTGATATTACTTTGCAAGCCCAAATGCAAACTACAAAACAAGCTATGTCCATTTTCGAATGCTAATATGCTAATAAAACTCTTAATGTACTGCTTAGAGGAAAGGGATGAAAACGACATCTTGAATAAAGCAGCTGTCCCAGTGCATCAGATGACATTTTAAGAAGAGCCAGCAGCCAGTAGCACAAATGTGACTTTCTCCACTTGGGTTAATAGTGGACCCTAACATGAGCGAGAGACACGAGGCAGAACAGTGCGCCCAAGAAAAGCACAGATTAAATATTGAGCATCCTCAGAAGGGTTTCTCTGAGAGGCTGCGTAATATCATGTTTATATTTAGACACAGTCCCAAGGCTAAGTCTGATTTGTTTTGTATGTGGAGGAATGGCTACATATGGACAACTAATAGACTCCAAAACTGAGCAAATGACAGAGTTATGAACTTGCATCAGGGGCCTCTCCATCCCAAAGGCAAACAAAGCAGAGACGATGTGGATTCAGATGGAGCAAGTGACATTCTATGCATTCTAATTAAGCCACCATTGTTTGTGTGTCCCATCCACTTGTGCTCATGTGCTCCTGCATGCCTTCACTGACACCACACTACTATACACATATGTGGAGTTGAAAACAACACAAGCTCTGGTCAATGATACACAGCGTATGAGACCCACTCAAATTCTCCATATATTTTTTGAAAAAGACTTCAAAGGCATTGCTGTGGCTAACTAGATATGTAGTAACTAAAGCTCAATTCATGGTCATGCGTCAAATTGTCTGCGTCACGATGCAAAGAGTCTGCATCGCCGTGAACTCCCTACGTGTCAACCAACGGGCACCTCCGAAATTTTCTAACTACGCATCGAAACGATGCTGACAGCAAGGGGACGCGATGCAGACAATAAGGGCTGTGAATATATATAGGTCATTAGTTACCATGTTATAGCAATTGACAATTTAAACCAAAAGTTCTCAAACAACCTATGTATATGCCTGCGCCTTGGGCCATGATGGGTTCCTCAAGGCTAAATTTTAGAAGATAACCATTTACAACATTCATATACTTCACTATGGTCTATTTTGACCATATCAGAAACACAAACCCGAGGCAAATATTTGCAGCCATATTAAGGTTCAATATAATGAGCTCTATTGATTTCTACACTTGGCTTTCATATATCCATCATAAATATTTGATGCCTGGAGTGGACAGAGTGGGAGGCGTCTGGGCATCTGGGGATGGAGTGATGGTCTATGTTCAAAGCAAACAGGAGGAAAATAAGAGAAGTGAAAATGTGCATCCATGGAGAGTGTGTGGTAATGGCCCCCCTGTGAGTGGAGGGAGGTGCCGGCACATCCCTGGCCCCCACCCTCCTTTTATGAATAATTAACTGAGAATGTGCCCGTCAACGCAGACTGGTGGCTCATTACATGGCATTATGTATGGTAGTGTCACGCAAGCTATCAATCAAGTGGCAACCATTCATGTGCATCAAGGCATCTCTGCAGATGGGAGAGACAGGAAGAAGGGGGTGTGTCTGTGGGTGAATGAGGAAGCTCTCTTCTGACCATATAAGGGCATAGGTGCTGCTGCTTTGGCTGCAGATTGGTGGCCCCCTGTACATTCATTTGGCCGGGACTGCAAGGTCATAGAAAAGGCAATGGGATGACACAGACCAACCTAATAAAGCATTCAGAGCAGCAGACATTAAGTCATTGTTTATAATTATGGCCTGAATGTCTAGTGCTGAACCAGACTGTAACATATTAAATCCTAATATTTGAAAATTAAGGACATATTGAAACAGGATGCTGGAGCTCCCATTTCCAATGAGTTTTTCATTATGGAGGCATTGTAAATGATTAAAAACTGGAGATTTACAAAACACTGTTTTTGTAGGGAAAAATATTTCCTGTACATAAACAATAGAGAATTTTAATCACTGCCATAACAAAATAACAGGCAAACATCTTCCTCCGGTCTGAATCACAATCCATATACTTTTATTGGGAGACTGGCTGTTGTCATCTCAATTAAAAAGATCTAAGCATATCATTGATGATTAGAAATTACTAATTTCGATTAATTTCACAGCCCTATTAGAGACCCATATATTGTGAGCTGTAACATTAAAACCACCTGCCCAGAGGACTAACCAGCACAAACAAAGAACCATATTAACACTGTGCTCTCCATGAGTTTATTCATTGTTTAAAAATGTTACTTTGGACTGCCCCAACAGAGTACTTGAAATGTTTTATCTGTTATCTGTGATCATAATTCCATCTTCGTGTCTCATACACTGCAAGATGATACCTATATACAGTATATATCTGTTAAATATTTGGTAACTAACCTCTCCCTTCTTGACCATCATTGACTGTCTCCGTGGGGCAGACTCCTCATTGATGCTGGACAGGAAGTTCTGGGAGATCCGTAGAGCATCTTGGAGGAGTGGGTGGTCAGGGTGGCTTGTTGGAGTGTGCTTTAATAAATCCTATACAACCAAATATGGAAAATATTATTACAATTCTAACGACAACATATATAGACCAAACTGACCAATAAATATATCATTAGTATCACATATTGTTCATTCAAGTGAGATGCCCAAGATTATATGGCCTTTTGGCATTTGCCTCAGGTTATTACTTTTTTACTGCAGCAGATCCCAGCAGAGAGATAGAAACGCAACATAATTGTTACATTGCTGACTGTGAAGCACTGACCTCTTCTCACATTCAAAAAATATTAAACCACTAAAAGGATACAAACACAAGGTCACTGCAAAGAAGATCTGAGGCAAAATATCATTTAAAGCACCCCCAAACTAGTATTAAAGATGTATTTGTCATATTAATGAATTAACAAATAGCAGAAAGAAATAACATTGAAAGAAAAATTACTTACATGAAGCACCAGTGTACTGCGTGTCACTCTGTCCACTGGTTTATACAACAAGGCTGCAATAAAAAATACACATTAAATTGTAGAATAAATGTGCCTGAAAAGGTACTATGTCTAGGAATGAAATGAAATATGTCAAAAACACTTCTTATATAACACATGATGCAGCAAAAACTGAATCTAATTAAATGTGTAGTAACTATTAAATTCACAAAGAATTCAAAGTATGTGTGTATCCTAGTTATTGAATTATTTTACATCAAAACACAGATCCCATGACAACAGTGAGATGAAGCACAGAGAGACTGACCTTCTAAGGAGTTCTTGGCAGTCGTGTCTTTGCCATCTTTTGGGCTTCTCACCTTCAGATTCTGTAGTGAACAAAAGAAAGAGGAAATACTCATGAATAAGGTGGTTGCTTTTAGATGAATGGAACCATCCTTAGCTTCTTCTTACACGTTTTTTTTCAGATGGCACAAAGTTGTGCACCATTAGATGCAGATATGACCTCTAACTAGGTTTACATGTGCCCCCTGCTTGTCTCCATTTAGGTTAGATTAATGCCATAATGTGAAACAACCAAGTGCAATAAATAAAAAAAAAGGTTACAGAGTGCACCTTTAACATATTGGGCCCGATCTTGACCCCCATCTCAGCACTAGCGCTAGCATTAAAGAGGGGCTGTCGGGCTGTAGTTCGCCACTGGAGTCCGGAGTGGGACGCTACAAGCACATATATGGGGATGGCATCTCAACCAATCTGTGACCGCTGTAGCATTTAAAAGCATTGCCAGTGTGGGTAATGTCTGCAATCTTTGCCTCATTACCACGCTGCAAAGCGGAGTGTGGGGAAAAGTTATATATGGGTACAATAAAACAGCTCTGGAGCCCCACGATGCAAGTATGCACCAGTAGAGGCACCAGGAATACAGAATTTTGGATGGGCCGTGACAGAACAGGCTGTGTTTTTGTTCAGAACACTCTGCATGTACGTGCGCCACTCTCACGCATGCACACCCCTGTAAGACCATGCACGCACACACACTTCAGTCTTTTTAGTTTTCTCTGCGTTTCTCAGTTTGTTTGCCTTCCATCCCACAGCAGACCCGCTGACCGCTGCTCTCCCCCAGGTCTCTCCCACCTTTCCCGGCCGTCCGCTTCCACGGACTTACCTGAGGTATGAGTTTCCATTGCTGCCACTGCTGACCGCTCACACTTGCATCACGGGTGTCCACTGCATTTGGTCCCACACAGGTGGATGTCCCGCCGATTATGGAATAGTTTATTGCCATATAAATGTTTCTGATCTTACCGCTTTGCGCACAGACATGAATTGAACCATTAACACACAGGGAGGGTGACTGCACGACCTGCATTTGCAGTTTTCTATGGTTCTGAATCAGAACACAGCTACCATCAGAACTCTCTGCTGTGGGAAGGCCTCTGGATGGCCATAAACATCTTGCACGGCAAACAAACATGTTATGAATTTTAAGCATTCATCATCCTAGCTTTGACCATGTTACACATTGTTTTTCAGTGGACTAGTTTGATATTTAATTTCACGATTCGGGCAAGTTAATGAACGCCACACCACACACACTCGCCAAGATCGGACTCCTTGTATCAATACCAAGTTATTTCCTTTGTAATCAATACATTTCATTCAGCAATAACTAGTTCAAGAGGCAGTCTAAAGGAAGAATTACACAACTATTTATTCGCATATTCAATCTCAACATTGAAAAATTAAAACCTTATTACACGCTGCAAAACTTTTGAAACCACTCACATATTGTGTGCATGTTATTTAATGTATAAAAAATTTTTATATATATATATTAGGGCTAGGTCTCATTCAGAATTTGCCGATACATAGGCCACGATACGATACATATTTCGATACAGTGAGCTTACGATTCGATATAATTCAATACGATATATTTCAAATCAGTTCAATACAGTCCAATAAAAAATAAGGTCTAAATCATGGCTGTGATACTAAAAGTCTTTGTTAGATCACTTCTTGTGCAAAGTTCAAATGAAACACAAACATTTTGATCATCAAAACAGTGAAAATTTCAAATGTGTTGCATAAACAAGTTTCCTTCCTCCAAACAATCAACAATACTGTAGCTGTAACAAAATAATTTAGTAAAATATACCAAAAAATTAATCTTGGTGATGTATCGATACAGCAGCCCACAATATCGATATTGTATCATCACATTAAATGATACGATATATATCGATATTTCAATATTTCAGCACACCCCTAATATATATAACTCAAGTGGCCTGAAGGACAGCACAGAGGCACTGATCCTGGCTGCTCAGGAGCAGGCCCTGGGCACTCGAGCAATAGAGGCCCAGATCTACCACATCAGATAAGACCCACGGTGTAGACTGTGCAAAGAGGCTCCTGAGACAGTCCAGCACATAACTGCAGGGTGTAAGATGCTGGCAGGGAAAGCATACATGGAGCGACATAACCAAGTGGCGGGCATAGTGTACAGAAACATCTGTGCAGAGTACGGGCTGGAAACCCCAGGATCAAGGTGGGAAACACCTCCAAAGGTTGTGGAGAACGACTGAGATCCAAGATCCTGTGGGACTTCCAGATACAGACTGACAGGATGGTGATGGCGAACCAACCAGACATAGTGGTGGTGGATAAGAAACAGAACAGAGCCGTGGTGGTGGACATCGCAATACCAAGCGATGGTAATATCAGGAAAAAGGAACACGAGAAAGTAGAGAAATACCAGGGGCTCAAGGAAGAGCTGGAGAGAGCCTGGAAAGTAAAGGCATCAGTGGTGCCTGTGGTGATCGGAGCACTCAGGGCTGTAATCCCCCAAACTGGAAGAGTGGCTACAACAGATACCGGGAAAAACAACGGACATCTCAGTCCAGAAAAGTGCAGTACTGGGGACAGCAAAGATACTGCGCAGAACTCTCAAGGCTCCCAGGCCTCTGGTAGAGGACCCGAGCTGAATGAGGGTGAGAGACCTACCACCGTGGAAGGTGAGAAACACATTAAACATATTATACACACACACATGCACGCACGCACGCACGCACACACACACACACACACACACATATCCTTCATGTTGAGGATTTCCTAAAACTACTATCACACGGTTCAAAGCACTGGTAAATCAAGTGGACTGAAGTTGTGCCAAATCTGCTCATTTCCTGTAAGTGCAGTAGAGATATAACTCCCTTTTCTTTCTAAGAGGACAGTTGGGCAGTATGATTAGATTTACTTTACTACTGTAACTTACCTCAGATATCTCAGCAAATTGCGCGTTGGCTTGGCAGCACTTCTCGGCCGTCTCCACTGCCAGCTCGTAGTTGTCCACAAAAGCCCGGTACACTCCCAGCTGACTCGCCTGCAGAACAAAGTACAGAATAGAGCTTTAAAGTATGCCATCATGTTTGCTGGGGTAACTGTAAAGAGTGGAGCCATATATCGATGATTCATAAAACTTTAGGACAGATACTCTAAACTGCACATATTATTGATGGGATTTGGCAGACATGATGTTCCAAACTCAAAAAGCAGCCTGTAAAACTCAGACTGCAGATTGTAGAAACATACACTAGTAAAAAGTATAAAGAAATGTGTCCAAGATATTATAAATTAATTAAGGGTATAAGCGTAGATTTTTTTTTTCCACAGTACTTTTTTCTCACACAATATACTGAAATGACAGTAATTGAGTAAATGCATTCACTTCAATTCCAACACAGCATTTATATTGCCATGTCATATAGCCTTTGCCAGTTTTATTGTGCATCTTAATATTAGCCAAGAGTGGATATTTTCAGATCAAGTGGGAGACAGACATATAGACAGATGGATGGATAGATAACTAGATAACTAGCAAACATGTTCATGCCAGTACTCACACTTAAATACATAAATAAAGGTGTTAAAAGTCACTAACAATAATAACAAAGTGCTCTTCTCGGTTCAGACAGAGCTGTCTAGTCTGTACAGTCTTGCTAAAGAAATAAAAGAAACAAAACCAAACAAGAGGCATGTTTTTAATAAAAAAAAATCAAAAACCACAATAACATTATAACACAGCTGAAAACTCTCACTAGGACGGCCCTCACCGCTACAGGTCGTTGGCACTGCAGCCACTTTGTCAGCCTCTGTGCTGCTGCTGGTCTGAGTAATTAATGGCCAGTGTAAGGGGGGTACGAAAGCAGATTTAGGAAGCTGGATGGCTGAATCAAACTCAACCAAACGCTGCCTGCCAGCCTTGTGATCCATCTCAGGAGTGAACAGAACAATCAATTCTCCTCCATAAAAGCAAGCTGGGAGAGAGAGAGCTGTGAGCAGCAGAAAGTGCAGCACAAGAAAGAGGAAATGAAATGGTAAAATTGTTGTTAAACTGAAATTGTCTATATTTTAGTGCTTTGGTAAATCTTAGCTGCATGGTTTGTTTGTTTTTTATCGCCATGTTCTACCAGCACTTCTGCTTTGGGGGCAGTCTTTCTTGACATAGCATAAGAGGTACAACAGACTTGACTCATTGTAGTTGGCCATTTATTTATTGAAATTCTGTGTGTTGCTTCTTTTTTGGATTGGGTTAATTAGGGCTGCATAATATATGGCAATTTAATAAAAATCAGAACATTTATTTTGGTATTAGCAAAAATAAAACATGAACTGCATGTAGGCCTAATCTAGTATTAAAAGAAATAACCACATAAACCTACAAATTCTTATACTTTGAGAGCTGGTGAATTGGTATTAATAATTATTTATCTAGAGTCTTGTTGCCAACAGTTTCCCTAATGTTCCACTATTTACACCATATTGTTGTGCCAAATACACGGTATGTGCTACCAACACAGAAAATGTAGTATAAAAAAATTTCAAAAACCAAAAAGGGACTCCTACGGTTTTTGAATTGCATGGGACATAAAACAAACCTAACAGAGAGTCACTTAACAGGACTGTTTACCATCTATTTTGGTGCAAACCTAAAATGGACCCTTTCATGCTAATGACCTTTGACCCTGACACTTCAGTATGACCTGTTTCACGGTGCAGGTCAGCTGATTACAGCTGGAATGTGTTGGTACTGTATTTTTACCATATGCTGATCTAAGCAGATACACTGCTCACTGTAGGACAACATTAGCAATTAGGCAACGTTCTTGTCATACACCAAGAATCTACACCATGAATTTAAGATCCATCTCTCCTCTCTCTCCCTATTTGCAATATATCCTGTCAAAAAAGCTGAAAGGACTAAAACTTTCCTATAAAGCAACATTAGGGAAAAAAAATTGCATAGACCTTGAGGCTACTTATGTTTTGTCTAAAACTGGTTGCAAAAGCTTCAGATCTTCAAATATTTTAAACCAACAAAAACATGGAAGTGTTATACCAGTACTTATTTCATCTTTGAAAATGATTTATGATGACATTTGTGCTAGATATTGAATGGTGCAGATTTAATTCCATGTGTATGGATACACAAATACCTCTGCAATATGACAAAAGCAAATTCTACAATAGCATTCTGACCTCTCCTCCATATCTAGACTATAAGCCCTTTAGAATATTAAAATCATCTGATTACAGCCTTTTCAAGAATGATTTCTGTTCCAAACGCTATGAACTAAAATGTTTAGAGGACAAAATCAAGCAGTATGTGATTTCCTTGATGCAGCGATCCTGTGTCCTGTCTTGGGACACACAATCTGTTGCACTGAGGACGCCACTCAGACAGTGAAGGAAAACTCAGAGCCTGAATGTGCCAGTCTCATCCACACCAACGCTCCACACCACAGTAGCAGCACAAAATGGCTTTGGGCAATGAAAGGAGCTGCCGGAGAACTGAGATTTCACAGTTTGGGATTTGTCCTGTGTGTAATCCACAGCGGAAAACCACATTAGGCAAACAGCATCATGACAGACTACAGACAGTATACAAGAAAGAGGCTGGGTTTGGTTAGCAGTTTACGTTTCAGTCTTCTTTCAAATATTCAAGCTCCTGATAGTGTTAGAAAGCAACCAAAAGTACTGTACTAAATTATGATTACAAAGGTATCTGTAATTTTATAGTAATTTAAAAATTTTACAGTAGATAGACTTATATTTTCTAGTCCATTACATTGTTGTAGCCTGCATATTGTCTAAGAAGTTGTTTTTAGCACATTCATGGTAACAACCTCCATAAAAATTTGGATTCAAGGCTTTGAGCAAACATACAGAAAATTCACTAGAATAAATAAGAAATGCTACTATTTACCATCAATAACACTGCATTTAACAGTTTAACAGTTCTCAAAATTTGTGTAAAGCTCTTAAAGTTTTTTTTTTTTTTAACTGAATCTTCAAGACTTTTACTGTTTTTCTTCTATATCTGTCCTTTTATTTTAGAAACTAAATTGAGTACTTCTTCCACCACTGGCTCCTGGACAGATCTAAACTGTACAAACAAATCTCAGTTGCAATAATAAGTAGACAAATTGTTCATCTCTCTGTGTCTTCCTTTCTCTAATACCTCCACTTTATTCCTAACACAGGCCACATGACAGGAGTGATTTAGCTCTGTGATTCAGTCTTCTAACCCTTTTGTGTGACAACCATGCTCATTCCCTGTCAGTGGTGCTCTTCCCTCCCTCTGTTCTCCCTGTCTCCTGCCTCCCTTGTTCATGTGCCCTCCGTTTGCTATAAGCCTGTCAGATTTTGGTAGACGCCTCTATCAAGAACCGCTTTAAAATCCACTGTCCTACACTTTATTCTAGGTCTGTCTCCATCACCTCCTCTGAGCTCAGTTGAAGAGAATTTGAGGTGTTTTTTCTGTAAACTCAGCATCTTTTACTGTTTTTTATTACAGTAACTCTTGTGTGGAATAGGATTGTAAAGTGGGTGTGTTACAGATAAAAGTCTGTAGGACATATAAGATGGAGCAGAGGAATGTTAGACAAAGCAGATTGCAAAGGCTGATTGGAGAACACAGAGCGTACATCTCTTTGTCGGGTTAATTGTTCCTTCCAGACGCTGACAAAAGCACAAAGACTTCCGCATCAATATGGAAGAGATGAGTCTTTTTTGCTGTACACTAATTACGAATAATGGCAACAATGTCCTTAAAATACATTATTTAATGGGGATCTTTTAAGCGAATAGCAGATTGCATATATGTAAACAAAATATGCCAACAAAATATAAAAAACTAATAATTACAAGTGATAATACACATCAGTCACTCTTAGCGATTTTGGTTCATTATTGACAATGCATTCTGGTTTACTTGTTTTGCTCTACTTCCAATTTATATTAAATTAGAATACATTTAAAGGTACAATGAGTAACTTTTATGGCGCTCTGAATGTTCCACTGTAGAACATTACGAAACCTATCTTATCTTCCTTTTATTCAATTGCAGCTGTTTTTATTGCTTAAAAATACCCTGATAAACATAATTTTTTATATTAAGTAGGGTTGGCTCTCCACATGTAATTTGGCCTACTGGTGTCACCTGCCTGCTTGCCTCCATGGAGATGGGTAAGTACAATATCATACTGTAAAACATTCCAGTTAAATAGCACAGCATCGTAAAGAAGACTTACTGGCTGCGGTTCCAACACCAGAAAAGTCAAATTAGCCAAATTCAAAGCCAAAAAAAGCCAAAGCACCCTTCACTATGTCAGAATTCTTCCAATCACTGAAATAAAATAATTGCTAGTTTTGACAAATTCTTATAAAAACATTTTTATCATAATATGTACATTTAGTGTGCACATTAACAACCATATTTACAAATTTTTTGTAGCAGTATTTGATACACAGAGGTTGACAGCGATTAACATACTACATAACAACTAGGAAAAACATCTACAGCCTTTCCATTCCATCTTACTTCTCATCCAAGAAAATGCACACTTGCAAAATGGGTAAACATTGCCTAAGACCCACAGTTAATAAATACTGATAAATGTGAAATATAAGCTCTAAATACTGAAGAAAAATGACATCAAGATCCATAACAATGTGTTTTTATAGTAGAGAGTAAACCTATTTGTGTAGATAATTATATTATATGGCCAGCATATCCATCTTTTATGATCATCATAAACGTGTTATATTGTGGCACGGGGCTGTGGAAGAATTCTTTGTATGAAAGATTATTACTACACCTACTTTGTAATGCACTTCCCACGATGAACAAATAATGCTTGATGAGTAGATGTGTCAGAGCCAATTCAATAATGACATGAAAATAATTGTTACTAAGAGTTAAGCATTACACTCCATGGATGCAACATAGACTTTTTTTATGAAAGATTCTTGTCAGAAAAAAATTAATTGGATTTTATTAGGGCAAAGAGGCAAATTAAATCTTAAAATTTGAGTGGAGTCTCACGGGCAGACTTGTCAGATAATAAAAAAATTAGAGAATAAGGGAAAAGTGTCAAAAAGGGGCAGGATCCTATTTATTGCAGCTTGTTGGAGTGATGAAGCTCGCAATGCAGTGGCCTGAGTTGCCTCCAGGAGAAAGACAGCATTGTGCACCCGCCTTCCTGCTTCCATGAGTGGAGTGGTGTGTGCATGTGTTTGTGCATGTGTGTGTGCATGTGTGTGTGCATGTGTGTGTGCATGTGTGTGTGCATGTGTATGTGCATGTGTGTGTGCATGTGTGTGTGCATGTGTGTGTGTCAGGGAGGCAAAGACTTTGAGGAAATTAGCAGATGATTCAATGGGGGTTAATAGAGCCATTGTAAAAATGATTACCCAGTTCAGTAGGCTTGGCCTGGCTTTTTTTCTTTTTTTTTTTTTTTGGGAATAAGTGTTAGTTGAGAGCAAAGTACTATTGAGACGAAACTAAATGGATTGTAACCTCAAAATAATTCACAAGAGAAAAGCATTTATAACTCAAGCATGCCCCCCCCCCCCCCAAAAAAAAATAAAAAAATGATCACTTACTCATCACCATGGAAGCAGGTTATATTTGTTATGCTTTTTATGTGCATAACAGTCCAAGACTCACCATCTTCTGGAAGAGGTCTCCCACTCTCTGGTGGTGGCTCCACTGCTGCACTCGGGGCAACAGGCCATCGTAGAACTCTTTGTGGATCTCGTAGAGCTCAGGCACTTTGAAGAAGATGGTCTCGATCTGAGCCACAGTGAGCACCGGCTGAGAGGTGGTGGCAGCGGCCTTCAGTGGCTTCATAGGCTGGTGAACAGACAGAGGTCAGATACTAGACCAAAATAAGGCTTTTTTAAAGTGTACTATGTAACAACTTTCTGGTGGAAAGTCTACCACCACTGTGTCTTCATGTGGATGTTATTGCTTTTCTGTGAATGTTCTGCAGTATGTCATTAGACTTATCTATCATCATAGAAAGAACAAGTTAATATCACCAGGTCAAACTGTAGGTCAGATCTGTGGTGGGTTGACAACATTCATAGTAAAAAAAAAAGTGTATTGTTTTAAAAATAAATTAAACTGTATTGAATTAATGTATGACAGATATTCTGTGGAACACTGAAAACATCAACATCTAGATGGACACAATCTGATGACATACCCTTCTCCAGAAAAATTGCAGAGTGCACCTTTAATGAATAGTAGCATTGTTAACATTTTCAGTATGATGTCAAACACATGCTATATTCTGTGAAGTACAACTGTCTGCTCAACTGCAGCCTCAGCTGCATAAAACTGATTCCCAGCTTACATCTGTCCTGATCAAAAAAGTCTAAGGGCCAAGCATAGCAATGCACTTCTTAGCTATTTTTACTTTGAATAAAACAACTGAAATATAATCTGTTTGACAAATAAGAAGGTGGTGAAGTAGATCCTAGAAATCTCAAGTTGAACTAAACTAACCTTCAACATCCACAGTGCATTTGTGTTTTGTGTGTCAGTTCTCACCAACAGCAGAGCTTCCAGGTGGCTTAAGTATGTCTCCTCACTGGCCAGGATCCCAGACAGCACCCACTTCCTCATCTCCAGACCCTTTTCCAAGTCACACTCCGTCTGCAAACACAACAGCAGGATTGTTCAGTGCTACCATCCAGACTCATTTTTGGATTTACTTTTCAAACAGTAGGTTATCAGAGTGGTTCCCATCGGCTTAGTGGCATTAACAGCTTGTCAACATTGGATTTAGATCTAGTCAAGCAGTTTTATAAAGAAATTAAGCGCAATAAATGAACAAGAAATCACCATGACATTTTGACAATACAGTGAACCCACACCCATGCACATGTTTTAGGATAAAGAGAGAAATGGAATGTAATTTAATAATAAAAATAGGTTTAGCATTAAGTGTTATTAATCCTTTTTGGGCTAGGTAAACTGGCATATGTTAATTCACTTATTATGCTCAAATACAGACACATGTTTTTGGCATCTCCTCACGCACTCCTTGTATTGGTCACCCACTATGATGCTTTGAGAGAGTGACAAGTGAATTCATCAAATCATAGTAACTGTACTCTTATTCTAATACCTCTTGCGACAATATGAAAGCTAGATGAATTGCAACAATGTTTTTTTTCCAATATCGCCCACCCATCAAACAAGGTGAATTCAAATATTGAGCTGTACGTCTAACACAGACAAAAGCTTGCACAAAAGCTGTTCTGTTGCTTCCTTGTAGCACCATCTGGAAAGTCAAACACTCCCAAATGGCCTGTGGACGGCCCTGTGTTTCCCTTCAGCAGAGTCAGAGTTCAGAGGAGTGTGGATGTGAGAGGGGCAGACACATAGACCGACAGAGAGTGGACCAACTGAAATAACCCACACAGGGAGAATGCCCTCTGGGTGTTGAGCTAAAGCAGGAATATATGAAATGTGTGTGTGAAAGAATCTAAGGGTGCCAAGTGAGTAAAAAAAAAAAAAAGTGAATTGCAGGGAATACATATGATAATCTATATTCAATATATTGCACATGATACTGTGATATATTGCTGTTAGAAGAACAAAATACATTTTAGCAACATTTCTTTGTTAAACCACTACTTGTATAAAGTTCATATGAAATGCATATATTTTAATGTAATCACATCAAATCTGTGAATATGTCAAGTGTATTGCATAAACAAGTTTCCTTCCACTAAATAATCAACAAAATTGTAGCGTGTTCCCAAAAATAAATGCTAAAAGACACCCAAAAACAATCTTTGATGATATATATTTATAAAGCACCACAGGATAATGATACTGTATCACCAAATTTAGTATTGTTATTTCGATATTTTTGCACACCCCTAACGTACATGCAAATACAATTTAACAGTAGGCTACTGATTTAGAGCTGGGGTTTCTACACTGGGGATCAGGTCAGGAATGCTATAAGATTTCAAGATATTTAGGTTTAAATTAGTTTCATCACTATTTTCTCAGTGTCTGTGTGTCTGTATACTGCTCTATATGGTCTTTATTAAATGAACTGGGCTAAAACAAACCTGAACTGTATAGGACAGAATTAGAGATCATAAAAGCAGACAGGGAAGTAGTGAGTCACATGGAAAACAGTACAAAAACAGGCTACTTCAATGAACAGGGTCAGTCCAGCACAAACTAGCCATGGTTTGAAAATTATAGTGAATTGGAAAACGTTTGCAACATTGATTTCAGTATAAATAAAATATCATGAATTCTCTAGCAAAATGTGCACATTAGTCTTCAATGGATAGGGCCCTAAAGGTGATGAGAAACTCTACAAAACTAATGTTCTCTTCTACCTTGCCACACAGTTACAGACTGGATGAATAACAAAGCTTTCCAGACTATTGATTTTTTGGAGTCAATACAACGCCACAGTCTCAAGCCATCACAAAGCTTCAAGGGATAGACTTAAACAGGCTAGTATTGTCAGTTCTATAGCGGATAGTTTTTAAATAAATAAACTGGGAATCTGTATTTTAATAACATTGAAAGACCATGCAGCTGTACACAGTGAACTAACTTAAATAATATGAAAAAAAAAAAAAGTGTCAAAGAGAGTAACTTCATAAATTATCTTCAAGAACATAAAAAAAAAAATAAAATCTGATTTTATATTGGTCCCATAAAATTGCATACATTTCTATAATTAGCAAATACAGCAAATATACAGACATATATATATATATATATATATATATATATATATATATATATATATATATACATACATACACACACACATTTAAAAATATAACTGAAAGAGTATCTTTAAAACTATTATTGTGAATAAGTTCGAAAAGAAAACCTTCGAGTTATTTGGGAGTTAATGAATAAATTATGAATCCTTTGCTGAATTACAACACTGTATTGAAAGAATGTTCACTAACATACACAAAGGCATAATTTAATTCCTGAACTTTCAAAATAAATCACAAGCACAAACTAAAATAAAGGTACAATTTTGCACACATATTTTACACCATCTCTTAGGGTGTTTTTCGACTGCTCATGCATGGCTAATGTTTGCAGAAGATCCAGCAGAATCAATACAAACAGTGTTTATTTGAGGAGCAGATCAGCCCGGAGGAGCAGAGACAAGTGCTCACTAATAATATTATTGTGCGAGTCTCTACGGCCCAGTACTACAGCACACTGTCAGGTCCTATACAAACACCAGGCTGAGAGGAGAGGCTGCACTCCGCACTTTATTAACCATTTTCAATTTTGATTTTTCATATTCTAATCTACTTAGCACCTGTTCTGTCAGACATGGTTTTGTGGATGGCATAATAAGATTGCGCATGATCTCGGGATGCCTGGGCTACAGAAGAGCTGTCAAAGAGTTAGATTACGTGATGTATAAAGAAGGTTTTAACACAGAATTGATCGATGGCTGCTCCAATCTGAATTACTACTGGTTGAACAGTTATTAAAAGTTGCTCACAAATAAATCATTGCTTTTGTACAGAATTACCGAGTTGGTTTCTATGCACAACAGGTACTATTTGGAAGCACAGTTTACACTGCTATCCAAATGCCAGAGATCGCCTCAGGAGTAACCCACAAAACCTCAAAGAAACGAATTTACATATTGATCATACTAAATTTGGTGATACAGTATCTATATGTCATATGTTGTAGAGCCCGACCGATATGGATTTTGCTGTGGCCGATATATAATGGAAGTTGGAGCTGCCGATAGCCGATATAATCACCGATATATTTAGTGATGTAAAAATTCACTGTAAATGTTGAATTGTTTAAAAAACTTAGGTTTGGCTCTGGTGGATTTTAAATTGGGTTTATTTAGGCAACATTTATTGTTATTCTGCCTCTTTACATCATATTTACAGACAGTAGGTTGACTTAATGGCATTTTTGCATCACATTCTAGACACTAGTGATGGGTATTCCAGTTCTTTTTAGAGAACCGGCTCTTTTGGCTTGGCTCACTAAAAGCTGCTGGTTCTTTTGGCTCCCAAGTGGCTCTTCAGATTGTTTTGTTGCAAGCAGGACTAAAGCACGTCTAAAGCAGGACTGAATCAGGACTGAACCAGGTCTAAACCAGGACTGAAAAAGGACTAAACCGGGACTTATTTATTTTATGCTAAACTACAGTCAAATATGCTCGTTTTTTTTTGGTTTTTTTTTAATCCTACGTACACGCAAATTTCTCAAAGTTTCGTTTTTAGCCGCTGCCGCTGTCAAACCACGAGTCTGCACGCGGCGTGAAGAGAAAAAAAGTGAGAGAAAGAGAAAACACGGCTCCCAATAAGGATCAGGCTCCCGTCGTTCCCTTCAAAGAGCCGGTTAGTCATTTCGTTCGCGACGGAACCATAACTAGTAAAGAAAGTAGCGCTATTAGCCTTTAGCCGTAAATACGTGCGCGCCGCGGTAATTGAGGGTGTTTTCACACCGACAGTATTTGGTGCGCACCAAACGGTCCATTCGAACCAAAAGTGGTTAGTTCGGTTCGTTTGCGTTGGTGTGAAAGCGTCAATCGGACTCGGACCCGAACCAAATCAAGCGGACCGAGACCGCAAAAAAGAGGTGGTCTCGGTTCGCTTGAATCCGCACCAAATGACCAACTTTGGTGCGGTTCCTCTGGTGTGAAAGCGAACCCGGGTCCAAACCATAGACAGTATGGACAAACGGACTATTTGAAATGCATCATGGGAGGGACACGCGTCTCCTCTGCCCGAAATGACGCGCTGTACGATTCCAGCGCAGTAACAGATTGTTGTCCAGACGCAGATGCGATTCATTTTCGAATTATTTTTACCAACAGTGGCCAATACAGAGAATGTAACACACGAAGATCAGAGCAAGTATCAGTGTGCGAACGTGTGGCTCCAAAGTGAGTCAAAATTGGGGGTGCGTACCCCTGTTCGGGACCTACACGCACAGAGACGACCCGGTGTTCCCCGTGATCACACAGCAACCAACATTTGTTATTTTAGGCTTTAATTAACCAAATAATTTCATGGCAATAGGCAATCGCCCATTCAATTGATACAACTTTAAAAAGTCCCCGTTTTTAGCCTAGTGTGAGAAATACAGTCGGACTAGATCCAAACCAGAGTCCCGAACCAGCGGGGGCAGCTCCGGTTCAGGCCGGGCTCAGAGGAGCTGCAGCGGGGAGCCTCGACCTGAGGAAGCGCTTTCCCCGGGAAGAACCAAATGCGCGGAGGACGGACGCTCAGAACAACATATAACAAACCGAACTGGACTCACGCTTCTGTCCGGATGCTGCACCACCTTGGAACCAGCCGCGGTTCTTGAGCGCGGAGAACCGGAGCAATGCGCCGGACCTGTAGTCCATAGCGCATTCTTGCTTTTCCCGCACGGAAACAGCGCGCAGACGACTGAACGTACCCGCTCGGACTTAGTCCATCAAGCACTGGTCTTGCTCGCCACCGTTTGGAACCAGCACATGGAGGACAGAGCCTCCGGACAATCTGACCAACGAGCTTGTAACAGAAGACCAAGGACCAGACCCCAGCCCCGTCCTGAGGAGCTGCGCGCTACTGTGAGCGCTGTTGGCTGCTGCTGTTACCCGAGCTCTGGGCTGATGCGGTGAGTTTGTACAAAGTTCTACATGTTGCTGTTTTATGAGTTCATGGTGATAATTTGAGATGAGGACGGCCCGTGGTTTTAACAGGAACATCGGTGTTGATAACTGGAGTATCGCTGTTTTACCGGGGAAACAGAGACACGTCAATCGAACCAGTTTTGGTTCGTTTGCCGGTGTGAACGCGGACCACACTGGAGTGTATTTGCTACATAATAACAATTTTATTGCCTGGTGCGGACCAAATAATCGAACTAGCGGTGTGAAAACGACCTAATTATATGCGCAAATATCATAATTCACACCTCTATTCACAGCTCATTTACATATCAGTGCAGGTCCAGTAGCAAATATACGGCCAATATAGTCACTTTAGAACAGACCAATAGAAAACAGTCTGTTTATGTGCGGGAGCTACAGCAGCTAAGCCATAACAAATGACAAAAACTAGCTTCAGAGTCGACATATTTCCAACACTCACCGCTCATACAGGCTCCTCCTCACATCACAAATCTTCACTAATAAATGTCCTTTTAATCCAGACTCAAACCGATTGTCCGTAAAAAGAATATAATCTCAGTGTTTGGATCTGTGTCTGCAGGTGTAAACAAACACACGTGAGTGACGCGACTCTGTGGTGTGTTCAGGGACAGTACGGACACACACAGACAAATGACTCCGTAGATAAATACTGATGTGGAGCCACATATTAGGACATTTATCTGTCTGTAAATTGGATTAAATGAACAGAATGTAGAGAGTCTAAGCTTTATAACGAGGTATAACATGCCCACGTGAAATATCGGCCCCTATCAGCAAGCATATCAGCCGATAGCCGATATGCCTAAAGTTGCCCATATCAGCCGATAATATCGGTCAACCGATATATCGGTCGGGCTCTAATATGTTGTTGTAACTATTTTGTTTATGCAAAGCATTTGACATTTGTTTTGATCAGTAAAACAGGCTCGGTGTATTTCATATTAAGTTTGAGCAGGTAGTGGTTTAACAAAGAAACACAGTTTTAAAATGTCTGAAGGATAGTGATATAGCAGAAATTCATGTGCAATATATCAATATCAAATTATGGCATGTAGTGTAAAATAGTGGTATTATTAAATTGTGAGCCATGTTTAATGTATTGTATCGAATCTTCATCACATCATATAGATCATATTATCAAATATGACCCCTGTCCCTTACCACTGTCCTCTCAGTCATGTCTTCTGATGGAGCAGTGAAGGAGCCTCCATAATAAGTGATTTCACTAGGGTCCCCCCTGATGACTCATCAAAGTGACATCACTAAAGCATCAGCCACTCAGAGCTAGCCTTAGCTCTGACACATCATTTATCACACTTTTAGAGTGGGACTGCTGAAGGGCAAACCAAAGACATGCTAACTTTAATTTCATTTGATTTGCTAATAGGTGTGCTCTGTTGCATAAAGGTCATATATTATGAAAAATTTCCTATTGTGAGTTTTTAGCCATGTTATAATGCCGTTACCCCCCTAAAAACATAAGTGGATTTGTGTTTGTTTCATTCACACACGTTTGAGTAAACCTTTATTATTAGTCTGAATTCAAAGCTCAAAATGCTCTTTTCCACCTTGTGATGCGACAAAGCAGTAGTTTTCTAGTTAAAATAACACCTTCTACCTTTTGTTCAGTAGAGATTGGCAATTTCAGGACTGAAATCATCATCATCAATGATTCTAGTGAAGGTTTGAGGAGCTTATAAACAAAGTGGAACACGTTCTGTATTACTACATGACATCACAAGGTAGAAAAGAGTGTTTTCTGTTTGGTGTTAAACATGTGTGAATGAAGCAAAACACAACTCCAGGTACATTTTTGATGAGAAAACAACTTTATGTAGAATATTTAAAATTGTATTTAAACATTACTTAACTTTTCAGTGTTGTTGACTGTGAAGAAATCTGTTCAATCTAAGTACTGATTTTAAAGGCAAAATGTACTGATTTATTCATAAATGCAGTTTATATGACATAAGACAGCCAATTATCCAATCAGAAAACTGAATGAGCCCACTTTCAATTGCTAGACTGTACAACTAAACCTTGTTCCAAATAATAGGGCTATCTATTACGATGTGTCACCAGTTAATAATAGCTGATGACAGTAATGAAAGTAACCATGACAACTTTGAATTCAAGTCTTTTGTAATTCTGTTCTCTGCATCATATTATCGTAAACACTTGTGTATCATGTTTACATACAGAGGATCATGTGTTCAGAGTGTAACTAAATCCCCCTGTTGTTTGTGGACGAGGTCAAAGGTCAAATTCAGGGGGGATCCATCCGTAGTTGTCAGATTGAGCCCATCTATCAGACTGACATGGCTGGGTTAGCTGCTCAGACGCTGAGTAAACAGTGAGGGGGCGGATATTAATTCATGAGCTGTGATGCTATCAACTGCTCCCAGGGCATGGCAGGAGAGCAGCAGTATTAGCCTCTTATTCCCATGATGCATCAGTGTCCTGGGTTAGCATATGGGAGCAGCAGGTTCAGGCACTGTTGGAGATATAATTTCATTTAAAATTTAGCATACAATTTATATCCCTTCTTCTGTATATACTGGGGAAAATTCTATAGAAATTTCTTAGGGCAGTTTCTTAGGTGATTCCACTGACCTTTCACTATTGTTAGACCCTCTATTTGCTCAGTAACAGAATGCACATACTGTACTGATACAAATGCAAATGATAATAAATATTTGGTGCACTGTAATCTGTACTAACTAACCCATAGTTTATGCATGTTTATGAAGGTATGTGTGCATCGTCTCCATGGCAACCCTTAAAAAGCACAAGCCATCATAGATCACAGGCTTTCTGGGGGGAGGGAAGATGGAGGTGATAGGTAATTCGGTCTAATACCCAGGATGAGGAACAGCTCGACTCTTCAGGGGATGGGTTTCTGTCCCGGTTCACTGCCTCCACACTATATCAAGCTCACTGTAATGGCAGATCTGATTTTTCATCAATTGACAGCTTTGCTCTAAGAATAGATTAGCCCACTTCCCCTCACTGTATTGAGGTCAGAGAAAGTATTGGCACCTATTGCAAACCAACACTGGACTTATTCATGTTTACTGAGCTTGGTATTAGTAGATCAATATGGCATTAGATTTGGTTAGTTATTTTTAATCTGCTGCTTAGACACAAGTCAGTAAATACAAATACTGTTACATAATATCTGTGATAACATGTTAAACAATATTTTTTAATTTAGTCTTAATCTTTTGACAAAAATGATTTTTAGTTTTAGTCTTTTTAGTCGACAAAAATGTCATGCTAATTTGGTTGACTAAATCCATAATAGTGGTCAGCTATGATAAATTGTATGGCATTGCTTCATGGGATCTGTACAGAAGAGCTCCTTGGATTTTGATTTTGTTTATGGTCTAGTTGGATCTAGTTTCTACTTGTACCTTACATTCATTTATGCTTAGCTTTTATTAATTGACAGTATCAGTACTTTTAGTAGATGAAAAGATCTACTTTTAGTCATAGTTTTACATGAGGAAATTGCGTAATGTGTATGTGTAATGTAATGTTATCATGGTCATAGTTTTAGTCATTATGATTAATTTTATTTTGTTTTAGTCACCAAAAAATAGAATGAAATATTTTAATTTAGCAGTTGACCCTATTAGAACAGGGCACACATACCGACTTGGAGGATTCCATAGAGCCAGAGGACAGTGTGTCGCGGCTGCTGCGGCTCTTGGAGCTAAGGTGAGGTGAAGAGGAGGGGGAGTCATCGATGAAGGGCAAGATGTCGTGGTGCCTTCTCTGCTCCTCTGCCCTGTCTGCGTCATATCCATATGAGGGAGGGGTGGACGTGTAGTGACCATCTGCAAGAAAAAGACACACCTAAGTTTCAAATGTCTTTCTATTTCTGTTGTGACGCACTGATAACTAGGGCTGTACTATTGAGGAAAAAAAACTGAGAGCAATTGCGACAATTCCAGGAACATTAATATTTAAAAGAAGATTGAAATCTGAACTGACAAGACAAGAATTGTATGAATTTACAAACATGTATGTAGAGGTCTAAAGTACAAGATATTTTTTATAAAAAAGACTTCAGATTTTGGTATCCTATTATCTAAATAATTGTGGCCTTTGCGATTTGATCGCACCAACTCAAAAAAAAAACAAAAAAACACTCACAATAGTAGAAGTCCTGACCAATGCTAGTTTAAGATCTGGAGATATTTCACTGCCCTGCTCCTAATTTTCAGTGAAGGATGGGTCAAATGCAGAGGACACATTTTGTTACAATACAAAAAAGCACGAATCACATTTAACCCAAATATGTGATAACTATTATAATTGTAGCTACAAAGGCAAAAGACTGCAAACTTACACTGTACCTATGGACATTATACATGAGCAGGCACACACAAATATAGTGTAGTCATTGACTAAACCTCCTATAGTACTGTCATGTTGCTCAGAGGGTGGTATCACTGCCTGGTCTATAACAGTGAGTTGCCAACAATGCACAGACAATTTACCCTAATTAATGCCATTCTGGAAACTAGGGCACACAAAATGAGTTTCCCCCTAGAACTCAAACGGCGCATAAATTTATACAAAGCATAAAGAAGCAGAGCACTTAAAAGGCCAACCACAAACTGGGTCAAGGTTCAGATCATTTGAACACAAAGCTGCATTCGTCAGCTCTATGGAGTGACTGTGATTGTGTGAGCTATCCTATACCGAGAGGTTAGAAATCAAGAAAGACAAAGAAAGACACACATTTCTTCGACAGCTAAAAATGTGATATTCTAGCAGGTGTATGTGCTATAGAAATACCTATCCAAATAGTTATATTTCAAAGTTTGGGCTTTGCGATTTGCCAGATCAATTCACCAAATCAAATTCTAATCAAATGGTTGCAGATCACACGTTTTGGCTTGAGGCTGCAGCCAATCCTGTGGCTGTAAAGCATTTTGTTTGGACTAGAATTTGGAATTTGGAAAGAATTCATTTGTTTTTTGAGTTTAGATTAATTTTATTTATTTCAATAAAAAATATGCAATTGAATCAAAATTAAATTTTTGATTGATCGCTATGAATGGGGTAAAAGATCTTTACTGTTTTGCCATAGCCCTATTTAAAAATGTTTAATTAATTAATTAATTAATTTAGTTCTGTTAGGTTGGACAAACATCTTTACTTAGAGTACAGCTTTGATTGATTAAGTACATACAACATTCCAATCTAAAAAATGTATTCGGTGGCAGATGATGTGATGTATTGGAGCAGACATCTTGGATCGTGACCTCTTGTCCATGTCCTCCTCTTCCTCTTCCTAAACTCCACAGCAGCAGCAGCCGTCTTGGCTCACAGCTGGCAGGGCTTCCTCACTGCTGACTCAGACTAATAACAGGCCACGGCCTTTTCTGGAGCAACACATACACACAAGAATGACCACACTATTCTCCACACATCACACTCAATTGTAATGATTGTGAATTCTAAAGAGCATATAGACTCTAATAAATATAAAAACAGCCAGTATTATTAGAATGTGTAAATGATGTAAAATGTTACAGACCACAATGCCCTATTCCCCATTTTAGACAAGGGCAAGAAGGGTAAAACATCCTAAAAGAACCATTAGTAAAAAGTATCATGATTATTTTCTATCCTAGAGTCAAAGTGAGTAATATAATCTCTTTCACCACACAACCATTTATATTGTAGTAATAGTGACTGTGGTAGTAGCTAACCAGTACCAAATGACTAAGATTTACACTTTTTTATTACTTGGAAACTTGGAAACAATAATAACTGATAAAGAACAGACTAACAACATTTGAAGCTGTGAAAATACTAAACCTAGTTAAATGCGAGCAAGTCTGACCTGAAAGAAATCATATTCAGTCAGCAAAGTACATCTGAAGCATATGTTCTCTAACAACAAGAAGCAAAAGTATGAGGAGGACAGAGTCACAACGGTACACTAGAGTGTCCGGGCTTCTCTGACCTTCAGCCCACCCACAGCCTGCTCCCTCTGTGTACTCTGCATCACCCGTGGGTGGCTCCTGCCCACTGCGGCTACACTGACCAGCAGAACCCTCCACTGACACTGTACCCTCTATGTGTCTGTGTGCAAACAAATACAGGACGGATTCCCTCACCATCCTACCACTGCTATTCATTTGAATCTAAAGTTAGTCAATTCTGTGGCATTCAGGAAAAAATCAAATGTGAGTAAGTTTAAAATTATGCAGACAGAAAGTTTATTCCCAGATCTTCAAAATGAGAAATACATTGAAGACAGGCAACTTGCATAAATGATTTAATTTAACAATCATGATCAACATTAATAACCAAAACATAAAGAGAGGTACTAGTCATTATTAATTAAAAAAAAAAAAAACAAAAAAAACAAATACTGACATGAAAAATTCCAATAGATGTTAAAGGTGACTATGCTTTCATAAAGATATTATTCCTTTGGAAAGAAATGGCATAAAACTTATCTGTCTCTATGGACATAAGTGATGCCGCCAAGCTTCAGTCTGACCTATGGGGATGTGACCCCACTCAAATGAAAATACATGTTTTTCAAAGTACTGAGCATTAAAAACATAAGCATATGCATAAACATGATTTAAACTGGTTTAATTCCACTGTGAAACATTTTTGGCATTGCAATAACATCTCCATGTTATTGCAAGTGGGTGGCAGACTCCCTACCAGAAAAGTTACATAGTGCTCCTGATCTGTCTTTACAAGGTCCCCAGTGTTTGGGACCACTCCTTAAGTTTATTATTATTTTTCATGTCTTGGTGCTAAGTGTGCATGACCTGCAGTTTCCAACAGATGGGGGAGGGGCTGAACTTTAATAGTCTGTTAATGAGCCACTTTAACCTGGGCTGGTCAAACACAGAAAAGCACTGTGTCTACACATGTGCTCACTTCTACTCCAACAAACACTAACCACAACTGACTAAGAGCTATCATGTCCATCAGTCTATATGCCTTGCCTATCTGAGGATATTGTCCAGTCCTCCCTGAGTCTGCACACAATAACATAAGTTTAGGTTTAGGACTGAATGACTTTATTTATCTAAATGAAATTTAGATTTCATTATCTTAAAATTATAAGGTGGAATCAGGAAATGAGTTTTGTACATATAACAAGAATACATACAAATAAATGAATTTTGACAAAAAACATCAGATAGAACATTACAATTCGGAGGAGGGGATTTGTCTGACAAGCATTGCAACTGCAGTTAGATTTGCATTTGAGAGGACCTGAAATTACATTTCAGAACATGTTTGTAGAGGTTTAAAATATAGCATTATCAGGTTTTATACACTGAGTTATATGCAGATGATATTACGTTACTTATATAACATAGCAGTCTTTCCGATTTGGAAATTGCAACTATTCAAATTATATCTTTAATTTGTTAGCCAAATATCTTGCACCTATAATTTAAGGTACATGGTAGTGGGTGGGCTTTTTATTCTCGGAAGGTCCAAAACCTAAAGCAGAAACAGGAAGTGGAGGTTAGAAAAAAGCCTGCAATATCGCTACATTGATTTCTTCCTGAAGCAGTTGTCAAAAATACCCCTCCAATGCCACACACCTGCCCATGAGTCTTCGCCTCTGCTCACAAAATGTTTACATGGAAACACACTTAGGGAGGGGCCCGAACCTCTTTGTGCTTCAGGTAAAAACAACAGTGTGTGAATAAGTGTGGTGCTGTCATGGCAACAACATGTGAACCTGGGCCAGAGCAGGGGAGATCAGGGCATACAGGTGTCAGGTGTCATGGGGCTGTTTATGGGAGGTCCCAGATGATACAGGCTTCGTGAGGAGTATGGGGGCTTTGTAAGTGCGGAAGAAGAGTGTCATTTTTTTCATATACAATAAGTTAATTAAATGTAAGTTTAACACATTTTTGCGTATCCATACATTTCAAGTGATGGGTATTTAGAAAGAAAGAAAATTCAGAACATTGCTGTAAAATAGTTGGCATCCATAATAAAAAATATAATGAGCTTGAAACCCACAAATCATTTTGCACACAATTACTGATGGCAAAGTGACTTATTTGGGTTTTATTTGGATAGATTTCTCATTTTATAATCTATTGGCAAATCTGGCAATGCACTGGCAAGGTACTGCTGCAACCCCCAGCGCATTCTCTCCTTGAATGTGAACAAACTTTAAGGGTTTCATTATGTAAGTTTTTGTTCTCTTGAAAGTCCTACATTACATTACCTTGACTCTTGTTGAGTTTTAAGCTATGTTATAATGCTGTTATCTCATCACAAACATACCTGGAGTTGTGGTTTGTTTAATTCACACATGTTTGAGGAACCCTTAATTGTTTGTCTATATCTCCAAAGCTCAAAGTAGAGTCCCCTGTGAGGCCAGGACTCCCCTGAAAAAGAGATTCTTAATCTCAGTGGGACTATCCTGGTTAATTAAAGGTCAAATAAAATGCTCTGTTCCACCTTGAGATGTCACATAGTGGTAGTTTTCAAGTTAACAGCTACCTTTTATCTGTAGTTCAGTGGAGACTGGCAATTCCAGGGCTGCTATTATCCAAATGATAGTGAAGGTTTACGGAGTTTTAAAAACACAGTGGAGCACTTCCTGTATCACCACACACAACTCCAGATATGTTTTTGATGAGGAAACAACATTAAAACATAGATTAAATAATAATAGTAATATTGGCCCTCATTTGTATGATACCATATAAATATGTAATATATGGTTGTTTAGCAGATGATTTCTAACTGTGTATAGTGCAAAAAACATGATGTTGTGCATGTGAGTTGATGTGTTGCAGCCGAGCACAAATTTACTTTTTGT